CAATTAAAAACTCCAAATTGCCAACACATGTTGATAGATCGAATTGTATCAAGTACGCAAGGCCAGGAAGGGGCGGTAATAGTGGTCGTACACGCAGTGGCTTGAGAAAATGCGGAAATTCAGCACACTTTCACCTCCCTGTTGGTTTGTTGATGCATCAACAAGGGCTGTCGATAGGTTGCTACTAAGCACCCCCGCGGCCCAGCAATCCCGCGATCCCGCTAGCATGATGCGCAGCGCACCGCCTTAGCCGTTGGCTTGAGTTTGTTGTCGTCGTGTTGCTACTTTTGATCCGTCATCTTCAAGCGCAAGTTGCGGTTCGCCGCCTGGGCATGGCGTCAGCGTCTTGTTAGGCGGCGCTCATGGGTGGCAAGCTTAGCCGCGGATCATGGTGTAGCTGTACCATGTCGTGCCCACTGTCTACTAGTCTGCATCCCACACTTGTGCAACTATTCAGTGGGCGCTGACACTAAGAGAGGTGTGGCGAGGAGCCCGTGTCGGACACGTTAGGGCGGCCGATTTGAGGCTGATTTAAAGCGACAGTGCACATTTGCCACCCGAAACCCTAAACCCTTGCGAACAGTTACTGCTGAGGAAAAGTGTCCGCACGAAATCCAGGTTTTCGCCAGACAACAGCTTCGCGCTGGCAAGCCTGGTTCAGAACAAAGACTTCTAAACCTCCGCTTGTCAAATCTAGACCCTCGTTTTAACCACTCGGTGTGCTCGCATGGCGGCTGGTTGCCAGCCAACGTGGCAAATAAGTCATTCCGATGTGGAACGCATCATCAGTTCGACGCGGAGTCGGTGCACGTCGGCGATTGTAGGCCGTTTCAAACCACTCGCCGCCATAGTAGACCCATCAACGTTCCACCGTACCGCGACCTCGAAGCGAAAGTTCCCCGATGGTAGGTACCTCGCTGACGCCATCATACCTCAACGCAATCCGATGGTTACAAATCACGACTAATGCTCAGTACAAAACCTGAAAGCCTCAAGGTGTTGGATCAGGTCCGCAACCTACGCGACTCTACCGACACGGGAAGGACAAACCGGACCCTGGGCGCCGTCGTATTTTGTGGAAGTGCCCGAGTATCGCACGTGGGACGCGTGGTGCGTAGGACTGCGCGCGAGATTCGAGCCAATTGCGGCTTCGATCGCGGCGCGTCAGAAGCTCCGCACTTGGCGCCAGCTCTGTTCAGTCCAAGACTACACCAGCGGGTTTCTGGCGCTGTGTGAGCAGGTGGGCTACATGCATGAGGGCGCATCGACCGCTACATCTACGGCCTGAAGCACGAAATCGTCCAAGAAATCTAGCTCCGCAACGTTATCGAATTTCATGAGATTCTTGCTATGGCGGAGAAGCTCGTTACGCCGCCCGAGACCGAGTTCCTATGGCAGCAGAAGCAGGAGCTGGGGACATCGGCCTTGTGGGACGAACGAGCACACACGATACGCGCTGTCGCCGCGAATGCCGCTGCCGCACCATTTAAAGGGTGCTGCTTCGCGTGCAACAGGTTGAGATATTGGAAAAGCGAATGCTTGGAAAACGCTAAGGGAAAGGGGGAAGCTGAGCAGCAAAGACAGACCAAGCAGCAGGGGTACGCTGGGAGTTAGAAGCAGATGGGCGCCTTGGTCCGCGCGTGTGCGCGCCTTAGTCTACGCGAGCGCCTTGGTCAACGCGCGAGCCTTGGTCCACGCAAGCGCATTGGTCCGCGCGCACACGCGCGCCTTGGTCCGCGCAAGCGCCTTAGTCCGCGCACGCGCCTTGGATCACGCGCGCGCGCGCGCCTGGGTCCGCGACCGACATTTTACTCGGCCGTGAATGGCTGCGTCGACTCAATCTGCGAATCGACCGGACGACGGGTGACTGCACCGTGCGAGTGAACGGTAACAACATCGCCTTACCTGTACGTGTTAACGCGATTACAATGAAACGCGAACACGTCGTCGCTGACTCGGCGTCATGGGCACTGTTGGATTTTGCCCGTAGTTCAGGTAAAACGGGGACTGCTGCGTCGTCGCTGACATTGCGTTGTTGTAGGCAAACTCGATCAGCGACAGCTGCTGCTCCCATGTTGTCAGGTCGTCGCACGTGGCACGAATCAACTGCTCCATCGTCTGATTCGTCCGCTCCATTTGACTGTCGGTCCCGGGATGGTACGACGAACTGAACTGTAGCCTGGTTCGAAACTGCTCCCATAGGTTCTTTGAGAAATTGCTTGTGAACTTCGTGTCTCGGTCGCTGGTTATTGCAGCTGGTATCCAGTGCAGTCGAACGACGGTCGCGATGAACAGGTGAGCGGTTTCTTCGGCTGAGATTGATCCCCTGCACGCAGCGAAGTGTACCATTTTCTTCAGTCTGTCAACGACGACCATTACCGCGTCGTTACCCCCAGGGCTCGAAGGTAACCCTGTGACGAAATCCATGGTAACCTGCTAACAGTCGCTGTCGGGCAGTAGAATCGGCTGCAATTGATTCTTTTTCACGAGCTCTTCGTCACCTGACATATAGGACACGACCCCACGTGGTGTTGTACATCGGTCAATAGCTCCGACCAGTAATAGTAGCGCTGCAGTTGCTGTCGCGTTTTTTCTACACTGAAGTGACCCGAGGTAACCCCGTCGTGTGCCTCCTGCAGTAGCAGTTCCCTCAGTAATGAATACGCTGGTACCCAGATACGGTTGGTGCCGGCTTTTACGTAATACACTCACTTAGCTTCTGTCAGTTGTTGTGAATTTCCGGTCATGAAAAACGGGTCGGTGCGGTATCCGTGGGTGAATAGGCCTGTTAACAGTGCATTGGTCTGGGCGGGGCGGGTGAGTGCGTCAGCAATGTTTGATGCCCCCTTCTTGTACGTGATGGTGTAGTCGAAGTTGGACACCAAGTAGTCCAACCAGAGAATCTGTCGTAGATTGAGATTTGGTTGGGCGCGGAGGTACTGTAGCGTACTGTCACGTCAGCTCTGGTGAGGTAGCATCACCAGACTTTGAACGCGTGCACGATCGCCAGCATCTCGCGGTCGTGTATCGGGTAGTTGCGTTCGGGCGGGTGAAGCTTGCGGGACTCGTACGCGATTGGCTGGAGGCCGTTCCCGAAATCCTGCAACAGTACTGCTCCCACAGCGATGTCACTTGCGTCGGTGACCAGTTCGAACGGGCGGTGTGGGTCGGCGATGTGCAGTACGGGCGGCGAGCACAAATTATTCTTGAGGGCCAAGAAGGCAGCTTGCTCTTTCTCCCCCCACGTGTACTCAACCCCCTTCCTCAGCAAGTCCGTCAGCCGGGCAGTCAACTTCGCCATGTCGGGGACGAACTGACGCACTTAGTTGACGAACCCTAAAAAGCTCTGTAGCCCTGTCCGATTTGTTGGCGCGTGCCATGTTTGAATCGTGGTGATTTTTTTCGGGTCTATTTCCACTCCGTCAGGTTAAATGATGTGCCCTAAAAACTCCAGTTTATCCTGTAAGAACTCACACTTAGATGCTTTTGTTAGTAGTCAGTTCTCACTCAATAACTTGAAAACTGCTTCGATGTCCTGTAGGTGCTGTGCTCTGTCGGGGCTGTAAATCAGTATGTCGTCTAAGTAGACGATGACGCACTTATCTAAAAGTGGGCAGAATGCTTCGTTCATGGTCATCTAAAAACTGGCGGGGGCGTTGGTCAGTCCGAAGGGCATGACGGTGTATTCGAAGGATCCGTAGCGTGTTCGGAAAGCTGTTTTCGTGCAGTCGAGTAGGTTGACGCGGATCTGGTGGCAACCTCCTCGAAGGTCAATTTTTGAGAAAACTCGGGCTGTGCGCAATTGGTCGATCAGTTTGTCGGCTCGCGGGATGGGGTAACGGGACTTGATGGTAACTCGGCCCAGTGCACGATAATATATGCACATGCGAAATCCCCCGTCTTTCTTCGGTGTGAACAGTATCGGTGCGGCGAAGGGCGACGGACTCGGGGAATGAACTCCTTCTCGAGCAGGTAATCCAGCTACTTCCGTAGTTCGTCCAGTCCGGGTTGGGTCAGTCGGAACTGTCGCTGTACTGTCGGCTGTGCCCCCGGTTCTAGTTCTATCCTATGATCGTGCGGTCGCTGAGGTGGCAGTCCTGTCAGCAGATCGTCTGAGAAGTAGCGCTGCCAGGTCATCAGGTACGTCGGCGAGCAGTTTCTGTAAACCGCTCTCCTCGTCTGCTGCCTCGGCTTCCCGAATGTCAACCGCATACACGTCAGCTCCTGCCGCTACGGCGCGTTTCATCGTGATCGCGTTAACACGTACCGACGAAGACTCAGATTCTTGCTCCTTGTTTGTACTCGTTTAACACCTAGTGCAATCCTCGCTATCTCGTTCAGTTGCACCCGTATTAGTATCTCGTTTGATTGCACCCGTAATATTCAGCCTCATCAATTCCAGCACAGACCGCTCCACAAAAGCTTCGCGCTTGTGGCGTTCCGCTCCCCCTCTTTCCGCCTCCGCGCATTTCTCCTCCCTCCGCCGCTCCACATGCTACTAGGAATATCACGCCCCCGCTGTTCACATACTTTTGATCCTACAATTCATTTTCGTTTCCTTGTTTCACCCCGCTCGCACCTTTGCGAAACTTACGTCGCGAGTCGCGACCTACGATATCATTGTTCTCAACTGGCACTCGTGTTGGGCGTCGCACCAAACCGACTTCACTCAACCGCCCCTCCCACACCCGCAACCACACCATGGCCTCCAGACAAGTCCTTCGCCGCGCCGCCGACTTTCTCCGGACCTCCTCCGCGCGCGTTCCCGCCTTCCGCCAAGTCGCATCCGCGCTGCTGCAAGCGCAGCCTTCGGCGCAATACGTCACATCGTCGCCGTCCGCTTCCGCCTCTCCCTCGCTGCCGTCCGCCCTTCCCGCGCATGTTCTACTCGAATCGCATGCGCCTGGTATCGCTAGTAGCATAGCTGTAACGCGACGTGGTTGGATCGAAACGCGCTTCTGTAGTTCCCCGGTCGGACCATAACTCACGCGATGCATCGGATGATCTGCTTTGAAATCCCCTCCCCTCTACTCCCCTCCCTCCATACTCACCCTGCCGCTCCCCTCTGTTTCTCCCCTCCTTACTTCCACTTTCCTCCCCTTCCTTCCTTGCCCGCCTCTCCGCCCCTCTCGTCCTCACCACCAGCGGCATCCTTCCAGCGGCGAGGCTTCGCCATCACGGCCACGGAGGATCTCGTGAAGCTGCCACGTGCCAGCGATCCGAGCGCGCTCAGCACGCTCAAGGAGGCTCTGGCGACGGGGTGGGTGCCGTGTGACTCCTCCGTGATTGCCAAGATCGACAAGACGATCAAAAGCACCGAGTAAGACAGCGGCACTGATAGCACTGGCAGCACTGGCAGCACTGGCAGCAGTGTGGCAGTGAGTTTGGTTTCGTGTGACTCACCTGGGTTGGCCCCATCTTCACGGAGAAAAAGAGAGTTCAGCGCTCGTCAGTACAGTGAAAGGCTGACGTCATTTCGAGCTCTGAAGGGGGTGTGTTGAGCCTCCCAGCTTCTTAGCTTCCAGCTAGAAGGTCATTGTAAAGCAGACGTTTTGAGCACCCGAGATCCCACATATGACATCTAGGCAGCATGCAACAAGCAAGCAACATGAAACATGATACCCAACATGCATGCAGAAAGTCGTGTCCCCCTACCTCTCCATTCCTCCCCACCCTCTCACCTCACCTTGTGTCCTTCCTCTCCCCCTCGCCAATCGCCGTCATGGACAAGTAGTGGCGACCGATCATCTTTGAGGCACCTCAAGTCCATCAGGTCTTATGTCTTCATCCCATCAGTGATGCCAGCTGTGTCTGCGATACAAGACATGGCGCAATAAGTGTTGTGATCGCTGAGTGACAGCAGCAGCAGCGCATGCGGTGCACATGTTCAAAAGTAATTTTGGTCTCGTTGGTAGAGCTTGGTTTTCGTTTTATTGTGCGATTTTTTATTTCCATTCCTCGCCGTACCCCCCAATCCCCGCCCCCCTTCCTCATGCTGCATGCTATCAGTGACGCGGTAGCAAGGGAGGCGTTGGCAGCGGTGAAGGCGGCAGCGGAGGCGGTGGAGGTGTTTGGGGAGAAGCTGGAGCTGCTGCGCCTGGAGCTCGATGAACTCAGCGGGGGCAAGTTCGGTGGCGAGGTGAGCGCCTGCTTGTATCGAGGATGTGCAGAGTGTGGTCAAGGGGAGGCTGGTGGAGATATGGATGGGCATGAATATCAAGTGATGATGGCTCAGCTCCTCCGCCGCTCATCAAGCGTGGGGGTGTCTAAGAGGGCACAATGGTGGTCTGTGCGTGGGGGGTGCCGTTTTACAAGACGGTTACTGCAATGTGCACTTTGATCATCCTAAAAGCATTGGTGGGCGGACTCACAATGTTCCCCTTGGCTGTCACTCAAGTCCCCAAGCACATTGAGGCGCCATGTTCAGCGTATTTGGACGCGCTTGCAGAGGTGGAGGAAGTGTTGTGATATTAACGCACCTTTTCTCTCTGATGTCCACCCATTCCCACCTTCCCAACCGCCCTCGTCTCTCACCCTGCCCAACCCCCCAACGGCATGCAGGCGGTGGGGAAGATCCCCGAGGACGTCAAGGCGGCGCTGGCGTCGGCGCTGAGGCGCTACTCGGCGTACCTGGCGGCGTTTGGGGAGGACGAGGGGTGGCTGCAGCGCAAGGTGAAGGAGGAGCTGGGCGGCGTGCTCATCACCGTCAAGCAGCGCTGCAGCGGGCTCGAGGACGAATGGAACCAGGTGCGTTTGCGGGGGACGGGTGCGGGGATGGGAGCACGTGAGAGGTGAGTGTAAGCAGGTGAGTGGGGAGGAGTGGAAGCAGGTGAGTTGGGAGGAGTGGAAGCAGGTGAGTGGGGGGATGCGTCCGAGAGGATGGGGTCGTGTGTGAGGTGAGTGGAACCAGGTGGGGGTTGGGGACAAGAGCAATACAAGAGAGGAGGAGCAGGTCATTGCCGTGTCCTTAAAGGGGCAGGGACTTTTAAGTCGAACCGAAAGTCAGCAGCAGTGCAGTGGGCTGGAGGAGTGGAACCACTCACTGCGGTGGCCTTAGGTGGGGATAGGGACCAGGGAATTGAGGAGAGAAAGAGAAATTGAGGGGGATGGGTGAGAGGGAGAAGGTGTGGTGGGTCACCTTACCTTCCCTCCCTCCATCTCCTTGGCTCCTCCACCTCCCTCGCCTCCTCCATTTCCACATGCTGCAGATGAGTCTGTTGAACACATAAGAACCTATGCCCGTTTCTTCTTACCCTCACCTTTTCTGTTGCACCTCTTTCTCCCCCTTCTCTCCTGTCCTTCCATCCCCTCCCCTCCCCTCCCTTCCCCTCCCCAATCCTCGCCTCCCCTTCCCTCCCCTCCCCTCCCCTCCCCTCCCCTCCTTTCCTTCCCCCCCCTCCCCTCCCCTCCCCTTCGCCCCCCTCCCCTCCCTCTCCTCTCCTTCCCTCTCCTTCCTCTACCTCCAAACTTTCTCGTGTGCTGCAGATTAGTCTGCTGGGCACATCGGGGCTGTCTGGGTCCTACATTGAGCAACGCGCACATTGACTGCTGCACAAATCTTCATTTCAACTTGAGTGGGGCGGCTGAATACAATTGAAAGTTCAAATGGTTCACAAGTCGGTTATTTCTTCAATGAAAGGTGCTATGGCCAAGCCAAGTAGTGTGGTGTATGGCATAGACTTGGCACCTATACAATGAATGTACGGCGATATGTTTTGATTTCTGTTTTTCTCACATGTGTTTAGGTGTATGATTGTCGACAATGTGCGTGTTTTGACTTGAAGCGTCATGACACATAAAGGAGACATGGGTTCCTTCCGAAGCCTGTGAGCGATGCTCGCCAGCACGGCTATGGGGTTCCACATCTCGCAAAGCGTGCTTCGTCAATGCCTCCCCAAGTTGGTACAGTATTCCCTCTGCCTAGCGTTTGTACAGAACTAGACTGGGGTGGGGTACCAAATTCGTTCATCCTTCCTACTCTCGATTGGTTGGGCGTAACCCTGTTGATAGCAGATCCGTGTGCATCGATGCCAAATCAACCAACCTGTCAATCGCCACTGGAAACCACTACACCAGTGACAACGATTCCACTAGCAGGAAACCTGAATGCACAGGTCGAGAAACTTGAGACTTCACAATACCTAGTCGCCTCGCGTCTCTGCTTATTCCGCCAAATCACACTGCCTTTCATAAGCGCAATCCGGTGCTGCACTCGCCATCTACGCAGCCCAGCTGTGGCGGATTTTGTGCAATCTCACGCGTTCATGACTCATAGCCAACCACAGCGTTGCGGCTACATTTGACGACGCGAAGGCGAACGACCATTTCGACCTAGTCAATAGGTCGTTTCTGGTTCTAAAGCCCATTTGGACCTCGACATTAGGTCGAGCGCAATTGCTGTCGCGCCTTCAAAATCACCTATTGAGCGAGCCACTTCGTGTAGGTGTACTGTATTCCACGCACTTCTCGCAGAAACGGAAAGTCCGTAAAGGTTTCCACTTCGCACTTCTCCGTTGATCTCCTAAACGGTCACTATGAGGCTACAAGAGTTTCGGAATGCTCGATTTCGCCTCCTCCTTATCGTCGTGAACTCTCTCCTCTGCGTGCTTCTGCTTCTCCCCAACGGAGTAAATTCGCTCCCTCGTCACGGCGGCCGGCCGAACTTCAACGGTGAGTGCTTGCCTCCTCGTGCTAACCCTTCGCTCCCTGCTGTGGCCTCGTAAACCGATGCTTCCAGTCTGCTTCTTCCTTCCCGTGTGACTGCTCTCTTTTCTCTTTTGTCTTTTCCGTATGCCCGAGAAAATAAACGAAAAGAGGAGCGTGGCAGTGGGTGAAGTTGTTGTATTCGTGCATGCACATGCGCGAAAGTGGTAGTTTTATTCCAGTCTGAGGCGAAAGTGGTAGGTTCATTCCAGTCTGAGGCGAAAGTGGTAGGTTCATTCCAGTCTGAGGCGAAAGTGGTAGGTTCATTCCAGTCTGAGGCGAAAGTGGTAGGTTCATTCCAGTCTGAGGCGAAAGTGGTAGGTTCATTCCAGTCTGAGGCGAAAGTGGTAGGTTCATTCCAGTCTGAGGCGAAAGTGGTAGGTTCATTCCAGTCTGAGGCGAAAGTGGTAGGTTCATTCCAGTCTGAGGCGAAAGTGGTAGGTTCATTCCAGTCTGAGGCGAAAGTGGTAGGTTCATTCCAGTCTGAGGCGAAAGTGGTAGGTTCATTCCAGTCTGAGGCGAAAGTGGTAGGTTCATTCCAGTCTGAGGCGAAATTGGTAGGTTCATTCCAGTTTGAGGCGAAAGTGGTAGGTTCATTCCAGTCTGAGGCGAAAGTGGTAGGTTCATTCCAGTCTGAGGCGAAAGTGGTAGGTTCATTCCAGTCTGAGGCGAAAGTGGTAGGTTCATTCCAGTCTGAGGCGAAATTGGTAGGTTCATTCCAGTTTGAGGCGAAAGTGGTAGGTTCATTCCAGTCTGAGGCGAAAGTGGTAGGTTCATTCCAGTCTGAGGCGAAAGTGGTAGGTTCATTCCAGTCTGAGGCGCTCGCGTGCATTAGTAGCGTGAAGTGGAGATAGAGGCACCTAGAGAGTGAGCTCATCAGTGGGGGAAATAGGCCTCGCATTCACCTCCCCTGCCCCTTGTCATCATCTCCTGCCCTCCTTGCTCTCCCCCTTGCGCTCCGCCCTCCTTGTTCTCCCCCTTGCGCTCTGCCCTCCTTGTTCTCCCCCTTGCGCTTCCCCCTCATTGCTCTCCCCCTTGCGCTTCCCCCTCATTGCTCTCCCCCTTGCGCTTCCCCCTCATTGCTCTCCCCGTTGCGCTCCGCCCTCCTTGCTCTCCCCATTGCGCTTCCCCCTCATTGCTCTTCTCATTGCGCTCCGCCCTCCCGCCTCTTCCCTTGCTCTCCGCCCTCTCTGTTCTCCTGCTTGTGCTCCGCCCTCCTTCCTCTCCCTTTTGCCTTCCGCCCCCCTAGCTTCCCCCCCCTTGCTCTCCGCCTTCCTTGCTCTCCCCCCCCCGCTCCGCCCTCCTTCCCCCCCCTGTGCCCTCCTTCCTCCTTGCTCCCCTCTTGCTCTCCGCCATCCTTTCTCCGCCCTCCTTGTTCCCCCTTGCGCTTTGCCCTCCTTTCTCTCCCCCTTGCTCCTCTCCCTCTTGTCCTTTCCTTTCCCATCCTCCTTGCTCCACCTCTCCCATACACTGTTCCACCTCTCCCATACACTGTTCCACCTCTCCCATACACTGTTCCACCTCTCCCATACACTGTTCCACCTCTCCCATACACTGTTCCACCTCTCCCATACACTGTTCCACCTCTCCCATACACTGTTCCACCTCTCCCATACACTGTTCCACCTCTCCCATACACTGTTCCACCTCTCCCATACACTGTTCCACCTCTCCCATACACTGTTCCACCTCTCCCATACACTGTTCCACCTCTCCCATACACTGTTCCACCTCTCCCATACACTGTTCCACCTCTCCCATACACTGTTCCACCTCTCCCATACACTGTTCCACCTCTCCCATACACTGTTCCACCTCTCCCATACACTGTTCCACCTCTCCCATACACTGTTCCACCTCTCCCATACATTGTTCCACCTCTCCCATACATTGTTCCACCTCTCCCATACACTGTTCCACCTCTCCCATACACTGTTCCACCTCTCCCATACACTGTTCCACCTGTGCCACCCCTGCTGCCGCCGTGCCCTGATGTCCCTGCAGACTGGGTGAAGTCGTACCGCCCTGACTTGGCCTCGCATCAGTTCGACCCCATCCGCATCCGCGCTCCCAGACAAATACCAGGTGCGTGTGAGTCGCTCCCTCCCCTTTCTCCCCCTCTTCCCAACCACGACCAACTGGAGTGCATCATTCCATCAGGGGAGGAGCTTCATTGGATTTTATGGGTGCTTATTCTTCTTCAAAATGGTCATACCTATGCGTTTCCGTGTATGGGATCCGTACGAGGTTGACTCAAAGCCACCTCAGTCGAAGTCATGTCATTGGTCCGAGCAGCAACATGGCAGTGCTAAGTTGGAATTGGCGTCAAGCATCCTGGACGCTAGCGTCTTGATGCTTCACGCTCCCTGCCTCCAACCTTTGTCGCTCGATTGATGCTTGGGTGGGCGGGCAAAAGAAATCCAGGTGCAGGCAAAAGATATCCCAGGGAGGGCAAGGGGGAAGGGTAGGCGCCGGCCAAAATAGAAACAGTCGAAGAGGAAATCTAAGCTTGATATCTAGTCGAGCAAAAGCGGAAACCAGAAATGGCGAGAGAAGTCAGGGAGGGAGTTGATTTGATCTGGTGGCGGGAGGGTTAGATTGAGTAGGTTCTGTGTGGTGAAGTGTGGTGGGGTTGAAGTTGTGGTTGGGTTGTGAAGTGGTTGATTTTTGTCAAGTTGATTCAAGCACATGCAATCTCAGTGCGAAATCTGAGTGCACTCCTCTCCCTGCGGTTTCTGCTCGTTCGATTTCGAGCTGCCCGAAATTGTTTTACCCGGCGTCAATGTCAATACTTGCGTCAAGCATTTTGCGTCAAAACGCTAGCGTTGGCGCTTGATGCTCCCGCCTCTGAACGTCAAGTCTCACTTCAGCTAGTCTCTGCCCCACTTCAGCAACGCCCACCACACTTCCCCCTGTCTCAAAACCGAGCGCCCGCTCCTCTGCCTGCACCAACTTTTACTGCCACGTTTTTCCTGCCCCACCCAACCCAACCCTTGTTGTGCCATTCATGTACAATGAGGTATCGTGGCATGCACATCTCGTCAGCAGAGACTAGGTCCTTCCCACCCACCCCAACTACCCCCAAACCCCCTTTCTCCCACCCCTACCGCCACCACCCTCTCTTCCCTTGTGCCTCTCTCTGATTCTCCTGGCCCTGTGTTGTTGCTTTCCCCACCAGAGGAGCATCGCGACGTGCACATTCCGTCAGTGGAGCTGCAGATCCTCCCCCCTCCCCTCAATCCCTCCCATCCCCGCACCACCACCCCCTTCTCCCTCATGCCCCTCTCTATTCTCCCCGCCCTGTGCTGGGCTGTCCCCCACGCACAGAGGAGTTCCCGGACGTGCACATCCCATCGGAGGAGGAGCTGCAGATCACCCCCCCTCCCCTCACCCCCTCCCATCCCCTCACCACCACCCCCTTTTTCCCTTGCGCCCCACTCTGATTCTCGCTATCCCCAACACACAGAGGAGTACCGCGACGTGCACATCCCGTCGGAGGAGGAGCTGCAGATGCTGGCACAGTTTGGCCACGCGCACCACGCCTCCTACTACTTCAACACCAAGCCCGCCGCTGCCATGGCCGCTGCTGCTCAAGCCGCCGCAGGGGTTGGGGTGGGGGACCAGAAGCCCTAGAGGGGTACAACTCTGCCTTGCCTTGTTGCCATCAGGAATGGGAAATTGTCAGGATTGTACACAGGAGGGCAAGCAATGGAAGTGTTTTGCTGGGAGGATGACATTGCCAGAGTGAGATAATGAGATTGCAATAACATGATACATAAGTACATGCTGGTACATTGGTTTCCATGTTGGTTACTGGAAGGTTACGCAAGAAGTCCTGCCTAGTCTCCTCAGGTTATGGTTGTCATATTGCCTTGGCCGACCTTCTGATACTGATGTATTCTGCGCGGAATCATTTGTTGGCCTTCACAACCGACTGGTGTGATCTGGTCTGTATTTGTTTCTTCAGTGTTTTTTCAAGGTACTGGTGGTACGCTATTTCAGCTTAGTAACACGCTTTTGTGCCCTTTCACCGTCATGGTCAAGACGACCTTGCCTGATCCAAAAAGTTGGAGTCGTACGTGCAGTGGCGTGACTCCACATTTCAAATGTTACAAGGTTTCAAGCCAAAACTCCTCATTTCAGCACGCGTATCGAATATATCGAGTACGCGGAGCCATGAGGTACAGAAAAGGTTGTACGCGCAATGGCGTGACTCAAATTGAGTGCACATTCACCTCCCCTATCGGTTCGTGTCAAAACATATTTAGTTAATTATATTTAGGCTGTAGTGGTGTTAGCCTTTAGGCTGTAGTGGGGTCCCCTGCACGCTACGCCGCACACGCTGCCCTACCCTGCCCTGTCGGCCTGCAGCCCGCTGCTTCGCTGCTGCACTGCTGCCGCCTTGCCAGCTGCCACTACAGTCGTGCTGTCGCCACTACAGCCACTGCTAGCGCCGCTACAGCCCCTACTATGGCCGCTACAGCTCCTGCTGTCGCCGCTACAGCCACTGCCAGCGCCGCAACAGCTGTGCTACTGCAGCTACAGCCCTGCTGCTGCTACTATAGCCCTCCTGCCGCGGCTACAGCCCTTGCTGCTGCCACTAATGCTCTGCTGCGGCCGCTACAGCTCTACTGCTGCTGCTACAGCCCTACTGCTGCCGCTACAGCCCCTGCTGTCGCTGCTGCGCCACGCGCGCTGCCCTGCCCTGCCCTGCCTGCACGCGCTGCTCTGCCGCCCTGCAGCACCCTGCCGTCCGCTGCAGCCCCTGCTGCCACCGCTGCAGCCCCTGCTAATGCCGCTACCGCCCTGCTGCTACCGCTACAGCCTTTGCTGATGCCGCTACAGCCCAACTACTGCCCCTACAGCCCCTACTGATGACGCTACAGCCCTGCTAGCGACGCTACAGCCCTGCAGCTGCCACTCCAACTGCCGCTTTACCTGCCTTTGCCGTTACTATAGGCACCCACTGCCGCTACAGCTGCCACTGCAGACCTTGGCAACTGCTGCTGACTACCGTTACCGCTCATGGCCTTTCTCCCCATCTTAATGGTTGACGCAGACGGCCAACCTTTCAAGTTAGGGTTCTGGCTTATGTGCCTGCGCCGATATCTCCGGATTTTCGCTTCTGACAGCTTCTCCCTGCTCGAGCACACGTCAGGGTCCCTTCAGGCCCCCACAACTCCCACTGAACCTGCTGCTGACACTGGCGAGGACGTGCAGTGGCGGTACCAGGCGGACAGTCTTGCCTACACACAGTGGACGGTGCGTGACGCTGTCGCACAGCTTGTCATCCGAGCTCATGTAACGTCCAGAGGGACCACTTTCGTTAGGTAACGTCGGCCTAGACTTCGTACGACGCTGTAGTTCGACACTACTCCTCCCTCTTTCCTGCCACCCGGCCACTTCAGCAGCGCTGTCCATTGTTAGGGGAGGTGCAGCAGCTGGTTGAGGAGGCGAGTGTAGGTGCCAGTCCGTCTGCTAGTACATGTGGTGCCGTTAGTGGAGGCGGAGGTTCTGGGGGTGGACAGCAGCGACAACAGAGTCAGCAGGAGACTCTCTCGCCGCAGCAGCTTCGAGAGTAGGTTTTCCAGCGACACGTCCCTGGTGGAGTAGAGGTTGCTAGTCTAGGTGCTTGTGAGTCTGCTAGCACAGATGCAGCTCCGGCCGAGGCTTTGCTCACCTTCACGCTAGACTCAGGCGCGTCTCGCTGCTTCTTCCGCGACTGCACCACAGTCACACCACTTACCAGACCTGTCCTTGTCACTCTGGCCGACCCCTCCTCTGGCCCAGTCGTTGCACGAGGTACCACTATTCTCCCGTGTCTAGCAGTCCCCTCTGGTTCCCTCACAGGTTTCCACCTCCCCTCGTTCACTGCGAACTTGGTGAGTAACGCTGTCTTCCATGATCACTTGGTCACTACCACCACTCCTGAGGGTGAGCTTGTGTCGATCTGTACGGACTCAGTGACTGGCGACCACCTCGCCACGTTCACTCGGAGGCCTGGGTCTGGCCTGTACACACTGTACGTTGAGTATGCACATTTCGCTGGGTCCGGTAAGGTAGATGCGTCTTGGTCGTGTCGGGCACTAACGCACCAGGGCTCTCGTTATCAGGGTAAAATACCCTTTTTGCACTGACTGGCGGCCGCTTTTTTTCAGTTACCCTTTCACAGGCAGGGTAGTGGATTTTTTACCCTAGGCCAGAAAGTGTAAGTTTTTTTGTACCCTTTGAAAAACAGCGTAAGGAACTTATTTCCCTGACTGTTTACTATACATTCTTAGATATACTGTTACCGAAAACTCCGTAACGAGATGAAACACTAATCCGGGCCCCTGCAAAATACTTTACACAGCGAGCCTCGAAACCGCGATACCTCCCGTCATATCTATTATCGAACCAACTGAGCCACTAAGTACTAACGTATTTCTTTTGCGACTAATATCTAGCATATTGTTTGAAATACCCTGGCTAAACATATTAACTTTTTGATTACCCTACTTCTGTCAGGGAAACGAAAATTTTACCCTACGCATCAGTGTTGACCATACGTAGAACCCTGACTACTAAGGGTGGCCCAAAACGAATCTGAAGCCCTGTAACGCACCCGTCTCTCCTCTGGCACCACCGTCTTGGTCACCCCTCCCTGCAGTGTCTGCGTCGCATGCACTCACGTCTCCTTGTCTCGGGCCTCCCGAGTTCGCTGCCCCTGTTCCCTTTGTTGCTTGCACCGCCGTGCACTCCCTGCGTCGAGGGGTGACAGCGTGCCGCTCTTCATTCCTCCTCGTTCCTTTCGACCACTGCTCCTCTGCAGACCTTGCACATGGACGTGTGGAGCCCCGCCCCCGTCCCTGGGCCAGGCCGGGACACCGCACACACGACGACACGCACTACACCGTGGTGTTTCCATTGCGGAGCAAGGGCGATGTCCGTCTTGTTTTGATTTCTTGGATCCGCGCTGTTCGTCGCCAGCTGAGCGCACGGTTCCGTCAGGACCTCCCAGTACTCCATCAGCACTCTGACCGTGGAGGTGATTTTTCCTCCGGTCTTCTTGAGGACTTTTGATATGAGGAGGGCATCACCCAGTCGTTCACGCTTCCGGACTCTCCGCAGCAGAATGGGATTGCTGAGCGCCGCATTGGCTTGATCATGGAGGTTGCTCGCACCTCCATGATCCATGCGGCTGCTCCCCATTTTCTGTGGTCGTTTGCGGTCCGATACGCTGCGCATCAGCTCAACCTCTGGCCCCGTGTCTCTGTGCCAGAGACCTCGCCTACCCTGCGTTGGACGGGGGAGGTTGGCGATGCGTCGGCGTTTCGGGTCTGGGTTCGATGGCCCTTGTCCGCGATACTACCGCGGACAAGCTCTCCTCTCGCTCTGTTCGCCGCGTCTTCCTTGGCTTTCCCACCGACGCACCTGGCTGGCAGTTTAACCACTCTGCCACGCGTCACGTCCTGTCCTCTCAGGACGTCACTTTTGACGAGTCAGTTTGCTACTACCGTCTCCTCCCCCACGCGTCTTCTCCTGTCCCCCCGCCACCCCTCTTCCTGAATCCAGGTTACCCCCCGGTAGACCCCCACCCTCCATCGCGTCCTGCTCTCTCAGGTGTGTCTCAGGTCACACCACCCCCCTTGGTTGAGCCTTTGGAGGTCTCCTCTGGCCCGGATGAGGGGGATGACCCTGATGCTGAGGACACTGCGGCCTCTCGCCGCTCCCGGCGCTTGGAAACTCCTCCTGGCTTTCCGCCTCGGTCGTCTTCGCTGCCTCCGCTTCCTATCGCTCTGAACTCCGGTGCTGCTGGAGGTGGTGGCCCTGGAGGTGTAGGCTCCGGAGGTGCTGAGCCTGGGGGTGCTGAGTCTGGGGGTGCTGCACCTGGAGGTGAGCAGCAGCTGCCGTCGCGTCTGCTGGAGACACTCTCGCCGCAGCAGCTGCGTGAGTGGGTCGTCGGACGTCATGCCGACTCTGCAGGTGCTGGTTCTGGGGGTGCTGAGCGTGGGGTGCTGCCTCTAGAGGTACAGCGCTTACGGTTGCTGACTCTCGAGCTGGAGGCGCTGGAGGTACTGGAGCAAGAGGTGTTGAGGCTGCTGGTGCTGGAGGTACTTGAGCCGGAGACTCGGGAGCTGGAGGTGTTGGGGGTTCTGGTACTACAAGTATTGGGGCTAGGCCTGCTGGTGTTTGAGGTGCTAGAGTTGGAGGCACTGCTGCTGATGGTGTTGGAGGTACTAGAACTGGGGGTATTGGTGGTTCTCGTGCTGGGGGTGCTGCGCAACCTGTGCAGCGACGATCGTTTTTCTGGCCTCAGCCGGAGTCGTCGTAGCCACCACCTGGCTCGGAGCTTCACCAGGTTCTCAGTCTTCCATCTTCCACTGGTCATTCTCCTCCTCTACTGTGTCCACCGTGTGACCAGTCTCAGCCAGAGTTACAGCCTCACTCCCCGCTGCCTGCTCCTCCTTACACTGAGCAGACAGACTCTCTGACAGAGCGTCGTGAGCCTGTGTCTCGTCCTGCCTCCCCTGTTTGCACTGTTCGTCAGGCTCGTCGTATTCGTCCTCCACCTGTTCCCAGCACACACTATGGTCCTTCGTCCTTCCTCTGTTCCATAGCGTGTTGCCCTGCCGTCTCCTCCAGCGTCCTCTCTTCCCGACGTTACAGACCCTGAGTCTAACTCTGTTCGTGCTGCTCGTCCTACTGTCGCACGTGTTCTAGCCACACTTGTCACTAACCCTATGTTTGAGTCTGCTGCTGTGTCTGCCTTAGTCATTGAGCTTGTTGACTTTGCTGATGCGTGTTGTCTCGACTACGTCGCTCGTCTTGCAAGTGAGTCTGAGTCTGACTGTTCTCCGTCCGTCGAGGGTGAGTGTGCTCTTAGCACAGACGTCCTTGAGGACAGGCAGTATGAGCTCGAGTGCCTTGCGGCTGCTGTACCTCATCTCGCTGCCATGCTGCTTGCCCCTGAGGGAGATTTGGGTGCACTAGACATCCAGACCCCGCACGCTTAAGTAGAGGCGATCACGAGTCCTTACTCCTCTCAGTAACAGACAGCCATGGACGTAGAGATGGCATCCTGGAAGTCCACAGGTACCTACGTCGACGCAGTTCCCCCTCCTGGGGCGAACATAGTCGATGGCATAGGGATTTTCGGGGTGAAGCAGCCGCCGGGTCCTCCGCCTGTCTTCAAGGCGCGTTACGTTGCACGAGGCTTCAGTCAGCGACAGGGGGTCGACTTCTTCCAGACCTTCTCTCCCACCCCGAAGATTTTTTTTAAAGGTAATTGATATGTACACCGAAAGAACAAGCATACATAAGCAATAACAGTCGTAACTGTGCATGAGGGATTGCCATATGGCCATCCCAGGTGCGGCTTCTAAGGAGGTTGGTAAGCTATCCTCGGTGCTAACCAGATATTTGTGAAAGCCTTCGTCCACGTCCACGACTTGCATGCTTTGTCCCTGATCTGAAACAGTAACTTATCCTCCTTCTCCCGTGTGCGGCGAACCTTCTCCTCTTGCATCGTACCCTGACATTTCCTCCACTGTGCCTCCCTAGACCTCATGTATACCCTTGCATGAAGACGGAAAGCTGTCTCAATGCACCGCAACACCTTCTTTGTCCGAAATTTCTTCCCTCTGAAAACGGCATCACAGCGCTCCACCCACAGCTGATGCAGCGTGATTGATGTGATCGTGGCTTCCGGAAATGCTGTGCTGGACCCCGCCTTCCGGAACAACAGGTCACCCAGAGAAGCCACCTCACGTGAGCTGTTGATCATGCGGAGGGTTTTTTGAAGCGCAGAGGTCACCACTTGAATCTTGGGGCAGCTGTAGAGGCAGTGTTCTAGGGTTTCGACCTCTCCACAGTACGGGCAGACCGGCCTGCTGCTTAGGAAAGCCACCCGTTCTCCCACTTGTAGGTTCAAGTTGTGAATACGCAGTAGCACATCCCTCGGCCTGCTGGGTGTAACCAGAGAGTCTCGGATGGCGATAGTCCTTTTCCAGTTGATATGCCCGTTCCACCTGCCCTTCCACAGCAGCTGCTTCGTAGATGGTTTCTGCCCTTCTTTCCAGAGCAACTTCAGCCGCTTCAGTGGCGCAATTCCCCCGTTTTCAAAAATGGGAAAGTCCGTGAGCTTGCGCCCCGCCGGGAGGTACCTCCGCCGAGACCCAGCCGTGATGGTTCCGCTAGCCTGTGTTCCCTGGGGTGGCGCACTGAGCAGCAAATCCTTCCACTCCTGCGGCGTAGCCTCAAACGCCTTCTTTGCTAGCTTAGCGGGGCCTTTTTCGCCAAGTTCCTTTTCCAGAAGAGCTGAATCTTTCAGCATAGTTGCACCACTGCCATCTAGATGGAATAGATCACCCATGCGTTTTTCCCACAACGGCTTCGCGTCTTGCTGTCCACCGATCGGCGTAGTACCCTTCAGCAGTAGGTGCTTGTTGAAGATAATGCGTTCAGCCTCCACTGCTTCCCGAGTACTTGCTACTGGGAGAACTCCCAGCGGTGTCTTCATAAAGTTCTCACAGGCCGCTTTCCAGCGGATGCTCTTCCCCTTCCAGAGTTTTAACAGCCTCTCATGGGCAAAGAAAGATTCAATGCCCATGGGTAGATCCGCTGCCCGCGTCATGAGGTGCCTTTTCAACTGATTCGTCTCCAGCGCCAGCAGACCCACTCTTCGCGCCGTGAGACACGCCAGAATCATCTCCGGGTCATGCACCCCCACTCCACCCATCTTCCTTGGCGTGTATAGTAATTCCTTACTCCACAGTCTGAAGCACTTGTCCTCTGTTGCCTTGTTCCCAGACACGAAATTCTCAAAGGTCTTAGAGATCGTTCCCCACAGTTTTGCCGGAGGCGGGTAAACCTGTGCTTGAAATGCTGCTTTCGGCATCGTGTAGCTGTTTACCACCGCCGTCCGGGCCGCTGTCGGCAGAAAGTTCGGCTGCCACTTCTCAACCTTCCCCGAGATATCTTCCGCAGTTTTTTCCCACGTTGGCAGGCAGCTTCCTGACGGAGTGGACCCACACCCCCAGCAGCTTCTCCGCCTCGTCCGCTTTCGCCCAGCGGAAACTATGCGTCCGACCGGTCGTCCTGCCGAGGTTTTTTCCAAGCGGTAAGATAACCGATTTGTCACGGTTCGTCGCTAGCCCTGATGTCAGCTCAATTTTCTCCAGTATCTGCTCTGCCCTGGCGATCTGCTGCTTTCCTTCCAGAACCAGCGTGGTGTCATCCGCGTAACCGATATACGCCAACCTCTCACTCGCCTTGCTGATCCCCAGCTTCCGTTTAAGAACCGTTTGCGCCAACGGCTTGACCGCACAGAGGAACAGGTATGGTGCCAGCGGACAGCCTTGCCTGACTCCGGAAACCACCTCAACTCCTTCTCCCATCCAGGCATTTACTAACGGCCGTGTTTGTGTTCCCTCATGCCGGCCTTCCACCCACTTTACAAACCGATCCGGGAACCCCATCGCCCTCATCTTTCGGAAGAGGTATCCGCGCGAGACTGAATCAAAGGCTTTCTTAAAGTCCACCAGTAAGAGGTGGAGGTTGAGAGGGGAGAGTGATAAAGGCCACGCGAAATGTCTCTTTTCCATGCTCCATGCCCCATCCCCCATGCCCCATGCTCCATCACCGATGCCACATGCCCCGTGCCTCAAGCGAGACGGCTATAGCACAGCCGCCTCGCCTGCGCTCCCAGCCGAGCTACAGCCGTCTAGTTATGACTGCCAGCTGTGCTACAGCCGTCTAGTCCTGACTGCCAGCTGTGCTACTCCCGTCTAGTCCTGACTGCCAGCCGAGCTACAGCCGTCTAGTCCTGACTGCCAGCCGAGCTACAGCCGTCTAGTCCTGACTGCCAAGGTGCTGCAGCGCGGTGACTCACAGGTGCTGCAGCGCGGTGACTCACAGGTGCTGCAGCGCGGTGACTCACAGGTGCTGCAGCGCGGTGACTCACAGGTGCTGCAGCGCGGTGACTCACAGGTGCTGCAGCGCGGTGACTCACAGGTGCTGCAGCGCGGTGACTCACAGGTGCTGCAGCGCGGTGACTCACAGGTGCTGCAGCGCGGTGACTCACAGGTGCTGCAGCGCGGTGACTCACAGGTGCTGCAGCGCGGTGACTCACAGGTGCTGCAGCGCGGTGACTCACAGGTGCTGCAGCGCGGTGACTCACAGGTGCTGCAGCGCAGTGACTCACAGGTGCTGCAGCGCGGTGACTCACAGGTGCTGCAGCGCGGTGACTCACAGGTGCTGCTGCAGCGCGGTGACTCACAGGTGCTGCAGCGCGGTGACTCACAGGTGCTGCAGCGCGGTGACTCACAGGTGCTGCAGCGCGGTGACTCACAGGTGCTGCAGCGCGGTGACTCACAGGTGCTGCAGCGCGGTGACTCACAGGTGCTGCTGCAGCGCGGTGACTCACAGGTGCTGCAGCGCGGTGAGGTGCGAAATGCCTTCGGGGATGCTCCCCGTCAGCTCGTTGCCGCCCAGCGACCTGTGTGGGCGCACGGTGGGGGAGAAATGGGGAATGGGGATGGGCGCGGGTGGGGGAGTGGGCGCGGCAGGGGCGGAATGGGCGGGGGAGGGGGGAGGGGGGGGGAAGGGGGGAGTGGGGATGGGCACGGGCGGGGAAATTCGGATAGGCGCGGACCGAGAAGCTGGAATGAGCGATGGCAGGCGGATAAGTGGCGCTCAAGGCAATGAGTGGCGCTCAAGGCAATGGCATAGATGGTCGCTGGCGACCCGCGTACACTTGGACAATGCGTTCGGGTCGTCGCACTGCACGCCCATCCGATACCTTGCTCGTACAGTTGAACAACTCGCTCGTACAGTTGAACAACTCGCTCGTACAGTTGAACAACTCGCTCGTACAGTTGACCAACTCGCTCGTACAGTTGACCAACTCGCTCGTACAGTTGACCAACTCGCTCGTACAGTTAACCAACTCGCTCGTACAGTTGACCAACTCGCTCGTACAGTTGACCAACTCGCTCGTACAGTTGACCAACTCGCTCGTACAGTTGACCAACTCGCTCGTACAGTTGACCAACTCGCTCGTACAGTTGACCAACTCGCTCGTACAGTTGACCAGCTCGCTCGAGTCGTCGCAGTGCACGGCCATCCGGCAATTCAAGGATGATGTGTAGAGCACTCGACGTAGCTGACGTACAGTTTGACGACTTGGTTCCACTGGTCGCACTCAACGCCCATCCAGAAGGCCCACCCGACGTCCGAGTCCCACGACTCCAGCTCCAACCCGTTCGGATCCATCGCCACGCGCAGCTCCGCCAACGCCAGCCCTGCCGTTCCCCCGCGCGCACATACACGCGCATACGCACACGCGCACGCGCACGGACAACGACGACTCTCGTGAGGTCTCGCGCTTATTTTGCCCGCTCGGGACGGATTCAAAATTGGTTGTGGCTTTTTAACCGGCGGATTGGCTTCAAATGCGCGAAACTAAATTGGGATAAGCATGTGTGCGTTGCAATTGACACACTGTGGGTGCGACTCGCAATGGCGACAAGATCATAACCGCAAAGGCAGCGCCGCAACTCACGTTGATCATACGTCGGCGGGAACTCCGGCCCATACTCGCTTGCCGACGCGTTCCCGCTGGAGCCGGGAGATCGCGGCGCGGCCGGCGGCGCTAAGGGTTTACCAGAAGTCGAAGGCGCTACGGGTGGCGGCGGCGACAACGTGACGACGGCTGTCTTTAGCGCACTCCGGCGATGGCTGGCTACGGCCGTAGCAGCCGTGGCGGTTGTAGCAGACGTGGCGGCTGTATCGCCTGAGACGATTTTCACGCGACGGAGCGTCGCAAGTGGACCCGCCGCGACGGCGTGCGCTACGGCTACTATAAGCAAGGCAATGCGCGGCCCCGCGAGTGACGGAAGGGAGCGGTGCTTCCGCAAATGAGTCATTCTGCGCGGCTTGCAACAGGTGGGTGGGTGGGCCAGGTTAGAGGTGGAGGTGAGAGCGCCGGTGATCACGGCGGCCCTGCGACCACGAGGTGCGATCGCCACAGGCCTGCCCGTCAATGGCGCGCTGCGCGAAAGAACGACAGCTGCTGACGCCGGTCTATCGCTGCTGCGGCTTGTGAGCGTGGTGCGTCATTGCACAGATGAAAGCATGGTCGGCAAGCAGCAAGCCTGTTGCACGACGAGCAGGCTTCAGCTGGCAGCAGGTGTAGTGAGCTGGAGGGAGGGCGTGCAGTGCAGTGCATGGGATGGGAGTGAAAATGCAAGCTGGGAAACTTGAACCGACAAGCACGAGCAGCAGCGCACTGTTTGGTGGATGCGGCGCTGCGAGGCTTCAAGCAGCGGTCCTTCCGCTGCGACAACGGTGGCTCGTACGGCTCACAAGGGCTTCGGTTCAGATGGGTCATCCGACCAACCACAGGAACGACGCAACACCACGGAATCTAGGTGAAGTGAACTGTGGGAGTTCAAGGGGAAGCAAATGGTGAGTTCTTGTCGAGGGCGCGTTCAGACCGCGCTTCTCACACTCAAATTTTCACACCCACATTTTAGCCGAGTGGAGAGATGATGGCTAGGATATGTGGACCTTGAATCTTCTGTTGCTGATTCCATTCGTGTTTATCTCTGGACTGGATTGTTGTGGAATACTAATACACCTTCCATCATCATCAGTTAAGTACTTGCTTAAAACCCGCAGGCCAAGAAGTTCAACCTTGGGAAGGTTGGTTGGGGCGGGCAATGCAATTGGCCAAGGTTGGGGTGTAAGGAACCAAACTCAACCGAAGTTAGGAAGGTTGAACCAATTTAAGTTCTGCAAAACCCTGACCATCTCGAAAATGGGGATTTGCGAACAGTTCATGAATCCATATTGAATGGAGGGAGGGCTGGAAAACTGCGGGACATGGGAGAGGGACAAACGAAATCGTCCTGTGCTGGATCGGCTGGATGGGGGCTGCACTGCACAACACACACACCCTGCGCAGATTTTGAGGCGCGAACCGAAGCGCGAATGGGAGCCACATGTCTGCCTGCGTCCATTTTAGGGGTGAAATTCAAAGATGCTCCATTGTGCTGATGTGTCCCATCGCGGCGCGGTACAGTTTTTGCTGCGACATACATCTCGCATCGTGTGGGCTGGAAGGATCGAGGAGGCAGTGACACGTCACCACAGCGGGGGTTCCACAAACAACACATTATTAGTCGCTGAAATGGAAAACTGAAAGTAACAAAAAATTACTGTAAAATGCTTTCCATACAACATAACAGAAACGATGTACACAGAACTCAACGTATTTGTCAAGGGTGTTCTTGCCATGGCAGTCGCCTCACTCAGGTAATCATTCTATCTCAGCTAAATATCTTGCGAGTGCTCTCAACCCAAAAGGACGCATTACAACTCCACTACCACCATCATCCTCACCCACATCATCACCCAACCCTTCATCCCCACCATCCCCTTCATCAGCATCCCATCCGCCCTCGGAGCCACGCCACACACGGGCGGCAAGCAGGTGGTTGAGGCGCTGGGAGGGGTGGAAGGCGTCCCAGAAGACGTGGCGGGAGGGGCGGCGGCACAGCGTGTAGCGCGTGGGGGTGCCGTTGACCAGCGCCGTGCGGCCGCACTGCACCAGCCCGTTGAGTGGTGCAGGCCCCCCGCAGCATGCCTCCGGGCCATTGGTGAAGCCTGCCGGCAGGGCGGAGTGAGGGGCGTGGACGGGAGGAAGAGAGGGAAGTGTAGGGAAAGATGGGAGGAGCGGGGGTGGGGGTTGGAGGGACAATACGGTAAGATGAAGGAAAGCGAGTGAAAATGACCCGATTGGCAAAAATCAGGCAAGGCACGAGTGCACATGCAGCACAGAGTCGCATGGAAGAAAGAGCCACTTCATTACCGTCAACATCAACGGCTATTCCAACTGGGCACTGTTGTTGCTACAAATGCTCATCCACCTAAATTCTCCATGACTTCGCTTCTCATAAACCACAACCACCACCCAAGTCACAAATGCCACCATCGGTACACGCACACAGAGAGTCCATCCCCTCCCCATCCCCTCCCCATCCCCATCCATTGTCCCATTGGCTGCACTGCACGCACCCAGCGCGTGCGGCTGCTCCACAGCGCGGACCACAAACGCCCCAACGTCTGCCGTGAGGATGACCATGCCGGGCAGCCGCGCCTGCAGCGCGTGCAGCCCCGCCGTGAGCACCGCGTTGTGGGCGACCGGCACGGCGGACAGCGGCGACGCGGAGCACGTGCGCTGCCCCAGCGCCTGCATGAGAGTGGGCGCACACGCGATGGGCGGCAGCAGGTACACCAGGAAGCGCCGCGCGCCCATGCTGTAGAGGGTCTGCGGGGGGGGCAGGAGGTGGAGCAGCGTGAGGCACGGGGAAGCAGCGTGTGGAGGAGGTTTTATCGTAAGTGAAGGAAAAGGGGGACGGAAATGGGGAAGGAAGAAGGGAAGCTAGGAGGTGGAAGATGCAAAGTGCACATTCTATCCACTCCCCTGCACCGCTAAGCACAGGCTGCTTGGGGAGAAGAGCAACACGGGCTGAACACCGCGTGATGCGACCCGCCTTCATGACCCGGCTGTTGCCAGGCCCCCCCACATGCCTTGCCAAGTTCCCACCCCTCACCTGCACCGCACCGCAGTACCCACCCTACACCCTCCTGTGCACAACGTGAACCACACGCCTTGCCCACCCCAGTGTTGGTGCTCACCTGCACGGCATCCACCGTGCCCTGGCTGGACGCAGCAATGGTGGGCCCCAGCGCCGCTGACAGCCGCCCCACTGAAGCAAGAGTGTCCGTCACCGACTGTGGCGGCCGGCTCACTGCCTCCTCCAATGGCAGCACGCCACGTGTCCCCGCCCTGCGCAGGCGGACGGCTGGTCCTGTGGAGTCAGACACGTTGTTTGCAGCGGCAGTCCGTTCGGGGGATGAAGCTGGTTGAACCGTGGAGGCAGAAGCAGCAGAAGCAGCAGAGGTTAAGGAGGCGGATGGTAGGGCTGTAGAGTTGAAGAGAGGGGGTGGCAGTGCGGTGGTGTTGAGCAGGCGAGGCAGCGAGGAGGCATTGCGGAAGCGAGGAGAGCGCGTGGCGTTGCGGGGGGGGAGGGAGGTGGGGATGTTGGGGACGAGCCCCATGTTGAGGTGCGAGAGCAGGTAGAGATAGTCGTTGGACCCCACCTGCACCACGTACAGCGCTGATGCCAGTGCCTGCCCATGGGCGGGGAGAGGGGGAGGGAAGACGTGGGAGGGGGATGATGGCATGGAATTGAGGGATGGTGGCTTGGGAGGAATGATGGCGGAGGTGAAGGACGACAAGTGCAGAGGCGTGGTGGGGGACGAGAAGGAGGTGGAGAGCGGTGCTGGAAGGAAGAGAGCAGAGTGAAGAGCAGAGAGGAAGATGTGAGAATGCGCGAGTGGTCGCCCATTAACAACGCACGTACGCTCTTGTCTGGCAGGCTCTCCTCGCTGCTGCTGCTGCTGCTGCTGCTGCTGGCGCTCCCCACACTCCCAGCATCACCGCCATTCAGCATCGCACCGGCAGACTCGTTGCTCCCACTGCCCTGCTCGCTGCCGTCCTGCCCCACCACCGCTGCGTGCACTTCCCGGAACTTTCCCAGCTGGAATGAGAGCGGGAAGGTCTGAAGGCATAGGAGAAGATGGGGTGAGAATGGGGGTGAGAATGGGGGTGGGAAGGAGGATAGGAAGTGAGGTGGCGAGGCGGGCAAGGGGAGGAACGCAAGCAGCATGACGACGGAGTGGTGAGAAATGGAGGAGGGGCTGGCATGGCAGCAACACCCCGTGCTCTCCTCGAGTTGCTCGCTGCCAACCCACCAGCGAGTGCTCTCAGCGCCACCACCACCGCTGCTGTCTCTCATTTCCGGTCCCACCTGCCCCTCCCACCCGCCTGCCCCTGGTCCCCACCTGCTCCCCACCTGGCCCCCACCTGGCCCCCACCTGGCCCCCACCTGGCCCCCACCCTGCCTGCCCCCTCTTGGCCCCCTCTTGGCCCCCTCTTGGCCCCCTCTTGGCCCCCTCTTGGCCCCCTCTTGGCCCCCTCTTGGCCCCCTCTTGGCCCCCTCTTGGCCCCCTCTTGGCCCCCTCTTGGCCCCCTCTTGGCCCCCTCTTGGCCCCCTCTTGGCCCCCTCTTGGCCCCCTCTTGGCCCCCTCTTGGCCCCCTCTTGGCCCCCTCTTGGCCCCCTCTTGGCCCCCTCTTGGCCCCCTCTTGGCCCCCTCTTGGCCCCCTCTTGGCCCCCTCTTGGCCCCCTCTTGGCCCCCTCTTGGCCCCCTCTTGGCCCCCTCTTGGCCCCCTCTTGGCCCCCTCTTGGCCCCCTCTTGGCCCCCTCTTGGCCCCCTCTTGGCCCCCTCTTGGCCCCCTCTTGGCCCCCTCTTGGCCCCCTCTTGGCCCCCTCTTGGCCCCCTCTTGGCCCCCTCTTGGCCCCCTCTTGGCCCCCTCTTGGCCCCCTCTTGGCCCCCTCTTGGCCCCCTCTTGGCCCCCTCTTGGCCCCCTCTTGGCCCCCTCTTGGCCCCCTCTTGGCCCCCTCTTGGCCCCCTCTTGGCCCCCTCTTGGCCCCCTCTTGGCCCCCTCTTGGCCCCCTCTTGGCCCCCTCTTGGCCCCCTCTTGGCCCCCTCTTGGCCCCCTCTTGGCCCCCTCTTGGCCCCCCCCTGCCCCCCCTGCCCCCCCTGCCCCCTCTGCCCCCCCTTGGCCGCACCTGGCCCCGGTTGGTGGCGTCGAGCACGCCCGCCCCCGCACTGGCGAAGTTGAGCCCGCGAGTAGCGCTGCGCCCCGGCTGCAGCACAGGGGGCGGCGAGGGCAGCCCCAGATAGCGCGCTGGGGGCGATAGGGAGCAGCAAGGGATGGGGGAAAGGGGCGGGAGGCAGGGGAAGGTGGGGAAAGGGGGGTTAGGGAAGGGGGCACTGGGATGGAGGCGGCTGTGAAAAGGTGCGCCCAGCAAGCCCCTCTTAGTACCTCACAACCCTTCATGACCCCATTCCCCCCCTCTGTTCCCCCCACCCCCATCACACCACCCGCCCGCACTGCGTCCCGCCCGCACAAGCCCCAGTGGCACAGCAGCAGCACAGCGCGCACCGAGGAAGTCTATCTGCAGGCGGCCGTCGGAGAAGCGCCCCGACGCGGGCTTGTAGTTGATGCCGTAGGGCGGCAGGTCCGCACGCAGGAAGCGGTGCGTGCCGTGGTTGTTGTTGCCCACGTCCACCAGCGAGTCGCCAAACACGAACAGCGCTGATATGGGCGAGCGCGTGAGATTGAGTGCGGCGACGGCGAGCAGCGCTGCTGCTGTGGCTGGGGGAGGTCGGTAGGGAGGGAAGGGGGAGAGAGTTCCAGCGGTCAGTGCCCTGCTCACTCCTCCTCGCACGCCCCATACGCACCTCACTTGTTCTTTCTCCCCCCACTTGTTCTTTCTCCCCCCACTTGTTCTTTCTCCCCCCCACTTGTTCTTTCTCCCCCTCACTTGTTCTTTCTCCCCCTCACTTGTTCTTTCTCCCCCTCACTTGTTCTTTCTCTCTTTCTCCCCCTCACTTGTTCTTTCTCCCCCTCACTTGTTCTTTCTCCCCCTCACTTGTTCTTTCTCCCCCTCACTTGTTCTTTCTCCCCCTCACTTGTTCTTTCTCCCCCTCACTTGTTCTTTCTCCCCCTCACTTGTTCTTTCTCCCCCTCACTTGTTCTTTCTCCCCCTCACTTGTTCTTTCTCCCCCTCACTTGTTCTTTCTCCCCCTCACTTGTTCTTTCTCCCCCTCACTTGTTCTTTCTCCCCCTCACTTGTTCTTTCTCCCCCTCACTTGTTCTTTCTCCCCCTCACTTGTTCTTTCTCCCCCTCACTTGTTCTTTCTCCCCCTCACTCCTACCTCCTACCTTCCTCCCTACTTCCCTTCCCTCCCAACATTCATCACCTCGCTACCCTCTCTTTCTCCCTCCCTCCCGCCCACCCGCCCGCCAGGCCAGCCCCGCTCGACCCACCACCAACCTTGCGAATCGCCTGCCGTCGCAGCCACGTCATCACTGCCGCGCGCGCCCGCCGCCATGCGGCCCACCAGTGCCGCCGCGGCCAGATGCACCAGCAGCGGCACTGCCACTGCGCGAGCACAGCGCTGCGCTCTCCGTGGTCCGAGCCTGTGGGCCCAGCGCAAGCTGCTCCGCGCGCTGCTGGGCGCGCTGCTGGGCGCGGCAGCAGCTGCTTGCGCGCGCTGCTCGGATGACCCGCGCGCGTGCGCGTGAGCCATGGCGGACCGCACAGCTGCTAGCGGCGCACGAGGGGACTGGAAGGCGGCGGGAAGAAGCGGTTCGCGACGAGGGAGGCGCTGGCTACTCGGTCCGGTGGCCTTCATCCGTGTTCCGCGCGGCCTTATGAAGTCCCGTGTCGCAAGAGCCAGTCCCGTGTCCTTGAAAGCAGAATCCTGGGCGACCCAGCCACGTTCAGGCCAACTTCAGGCCTGAACGCGTTCAGGTCGCTTTTGAGGCCACTTGCACGGGGAAGGACAGCGCGGCCACTTGCGGGCGCTGCAGCGCGATGCCAGCAAGGCATGCCGCTGCTCCGCCGCTGCTCGTTTCACCGCGCCATGGCCCCACAGCGCCCTCAATCCGTCTCCTCGCGCCCACGGGCCACTGCTGCCTGAGCTCGCGCCCTAGGGGGCTGCGGAGCGCCTCGGAAGAAATCGCGGACGTGTGGCGGTCACGTGAAGTGCCACGCGTCGACGCATCCACGGACGGGCTGGGCCCCATCGGGTGGGCACCAGCGTATCGCGGGCGGATGGGCGCATTCCGCTTTTACGAACCCTCGGTGTGGGGGCTCGAACGCGAGGCTGTCGCGCTGTCAGGCGTCACGATCGATGAGGGTCGGTTCGGTTGCTTGGAAGGACAGCGCACAACGTGTGTGGTGCGAGACGAGGTGACTGGTGACTCGTTGTCAGGACGCGGTATACGTATACGAACGTTCGTCAGTCTCGATCAAGGTGCGGATCGGTTACCCTGTTTACTGTCTTGTAACCTTGCTAAAAAGCGGTTTTTGGCCAAAATCTGCACAGCCAGAGATTGCGACTGATCACCGATCGCCCCCGATTTGTGATGCGCATCTGATGCCCACGAACCGAGCGCACCAGGCCCGATTGATTCGGATGCCTGCGAGGCGCTGATTTTTCGCACAGACGGAAATTTGAGTCGCCCAACCTGAGAGCAAACCAGAAATTCGGAGCCCAGCCAGAAATTTGAGTCGACCGTCGCAGGTGTGCTTGTGCGACCCCTGGTTTTACAGTGCCCGTGTCGCAGGCCGGTCCACAATCTCGGTGGTGGAACATCCACGGCTAAACTCAGGTGCGATCGTTACAGCCTGGTAGGCGCATCGTTTCGCCAAACGACCCGACCAATCGATTGTCGGGATCGATTTACTCACGATCTGGCGATATTTGCACTTTAATCGCGTCCTCAGCGACTGGTGGGTGTGGGTTGGCCAAACTGTAAGGAAATTTTCGACATTCCTTACTGCGTCCGTCAACATCGCGAACAGCAGCAGCCTGTTATGAGTTGAAAAGAAGATGAGTGCGCACAATGCAATTACGCAGAAGTGATTACAACTACTCAGCAGGTAATGAGGCCTAGTGTTATGAATGAACTTGCAGAGTGCGCAGAATAACGAATAACGAGAAATGAGTGGTTACTGAAGGACGATACAATGAGAATGGCACGACTAAATAGGGGAAAAGGCTAGCTAGGCGAAGAGGTAGGGCGAAGATGGCTCGGTGATGGTTGCGATTGGTGCGGAGGCGACTCCGGAGTGGTTCGGTACAACGAAATAGGTCGAACAGGTTCGTCGCGTGACCCTCGGGATGTACTCGCTAAAGTGCGAGTACAGCTAGAAATTACAATTCCTTACACCTAGCACTAATATAGCGATGCTAGCTAGGTCGTAGTCGTGGAGAAGCGAGATGGTTGGGTGCAGGTTTGGGGTTGGAAAACCCGAAGGCGACGCGATGGTGGTTCGGAGGGCGAGGTCGTCGGACTGAGCCTGTTCTCCGAAAACAGGAGTGTCAAAATATGTTAATGTTTATGTTGTGTAGGCTGTAATGGGGTAGCCCATAAGGGGTACAACCCAATTAGGGTTAGTACTTGTACTCAGCTTGTTCTCAATGCATCCATTCTCGTTCAGTATTCTAACATGGTTTCACAACATGTCCTGTTCCAAGACCGTTTTTTTAGGGCCCACCGACTAGTTCCCTGCCCGTAGCGCATTACCCTGTCCGTAGCGCCCTACCCTGCCCGTCACGCTTCCCCACCAGTCGCACTGCCCTGCCCTGCCCCCGCGCCGCCCTGCTGGCTGTCGCGCCACCCTGCCCTGCCCGTCGCACCGCCCTGCTGGCCGCGCGCTGCCCTGCTGCCCGTCGCGCCGCCCTGCTGGCCGCGCCACCTTGCCCTGCTGGCCGCGCGCCACCCTGCTGCCCGTCGCGCTGCCCTGCTGGCCGCGCCACCCTGCCCTGCTGCCCGTCGCGCCGCCCTGCTGGCCGCGCGATGCCCTGCTGCCCGGCGCGCTGCCCGCGCATGCCCTGCCCTGCCCTGCGTTGCGCCGCCCCGCGCACGCCCTGCCCTGCGTCGCGCCGCCCGCGCACGCCCTGCCCTGCATCGCGCCGCCCCGCGCACACCCTGCCCTGCGTCGCGTCGCCCTGCGCACGCCCTGCCCTGCGTCGCACCGCCCGTGCACGCCCTGCCCTGCTCATCGCACCGCCCTGCTGGCCACGCGCCGACCTGCCCTGCCCGTTGCGTCACCCTAGGGCCCGCGCGCCGCCCTGACCTACCCGTCGTGCCGCCCTCGTGCCCGCTCGCCGCCTTGCTGGCAGCGCGCCGCCCTGCCTTGGCCGTGCGCCGCCCTTCCTTGGCCGCGCGCCGCCCCGCCCTGCCTTGCGCGCCTCCCTAGTGCCCGCGCGCCGCCCTGCCCTGCCCGTCGCGCCGTCCTGCTGCCTGCGCCCCGCTCTGCCTTGCCTCCGTGCTGCCCTGCTGGTCGCGCGCCACCCTACTCTGCCCGCTGTGGCCTCTCTTAGTGTTCTCACTTTCGATTATGAGGGTCGTCCGATCCAGTTTGAGACCTGGCTAGACGACTTACAGCTGTACCTACAGAGCGAGTCTAGGGACGGCGTCTCCTTGTTTGACCACACGTCTGGGACCTCTCTTGCTCCTCCCGAAACAGCTGACACTTCGATTCGCTCATAGTGGCTTACCCGTGACGCTACTGCTCGCCTCGCCGTTCGCAACCACCTGCCGTTAGCCGAACGCGCGCACTTTGGCCAGCACAAGACTGCTAAAGCACTCTTTGACGATATAGTCGCTCGTTACTCTCCCCTGCCAGTGCTGCTCTAGGCCGACTCATAGTGCCCTACCTCTTTCCTGAGTTGTCAGCCTTTTCCACAGTCGACAACCTCATCACCCACGTTTGCACTAACTATACTCGCTACCGCGCCGTGCTTAAATCCGAGTTTCTAAACAAGAACCCCCCCCCCCCCCCCCCCCCCCCCCCCTCATGTACATCACTCTCTACTTCATCGTCACCCGCCTCCCTGACTCTCTTCGCGCAGTCAGGGACCACTTTCTCGCCCTTGACCCCACAGACCTCACTGTCGACCTGCTCGAGAAGCATCTCCTTGCAGCTGAGACTAGCATAGTCGCTGTAGCTGCTTCTCGTGGCACTCCTCGCACTCCCTTCTTTGAGGGTATTCCCCCTCCCCCCTTGCCCCCTCTGTCGCTTCTGCTGCTGCTGTTGACTTCCTTCGTGCTGAGGAGGTCGGGGCTGCGTCTGCTCCTAGTGGGAGGCGCCGCAGCGGCAAGGGCAAGGGAGGCAAGAGTGGTGGGGGTGGCGGCGGTGGAGGCGGTGGTGGAGGCGGTGGAGGTAGTGGAGGTGGCGGTGGTGGCGGTGGGAGTAGTGGTGGGGGTGGAGGCGTCAGTGGCGGCGGTGGTGGTAGCGGTGGGAGTGGTGGCGGCGGTGGTGGCAGCAGTGGGAGTGGTGGCGGCGGCAGTGGTGGCGGTCGGGGTGGAGCGGTCCAGAGGGGAGGTTCTGGCGGTGGCCAGAGGCAGCAGCAGCAGCGTCCGCACTAGACCCAGCAGCTTCGTGAGTCGTTTGCTCAGCATGGGGCGTCTGGGGGTAGTGTTCGCTGCCCGTACGTCATTCGCACAGGTGATCGGGCTGGTCAGACATGCGGGAAGGTTGGTCACACAGAGTACCGCTGCTTCTCCCGTCTTGACGACGCCTGGCGCGCAGAGTTTGGCGACGAGGCTGAGCTCCCCCGCTGGCTAGAGCTGCTTAGGAACAATGTGGATATCTTTGCTCTTGACTATGATGCTATCCTTGCTGGCATGTATGCTTTGACTGTTAGTGCTGAGGGTGACTGTTACCTGTGTGTGCCGCCCGACCCAGGTATAGAGGTTGCTGCTCTAGGTGCTAGTGCGTCTGCTCTCTCTGGTACTGCGCCTGTTGAGGCCTCGCACACCTTCACGCTTGACTCAGGTGCTTCTCGCTGCTTCTTTCGCGACAATACCACAGTCACACCACTCCCTGCACCTGTTGCAGTCTCTCTGGCTGACCCCTCAGGGGGCTAAGTTCTTGCACGTTCCTCCACTGTTCTCCCGTGTCCAGCGGTTTTGTCTGGCTCACTCTCAGGTCTTCACCTCCCCTCGTTCTCTACTAACGTGGTGAGTAGTGCTGCCCTCCAGGATGAGATGGTCACTACCACCACTCCTGGGGGTCAGCGTGTGTCGATCTGCACGTGTACACGGACGGGCCGTCACCTGGCCACGTTCACCCGTCGGCCAGGGTCGAGCCTGTACACACTGACTACTGAGCCTACTCAGGTGGCTGCGTCTGGTCAGGTGTCCGCGTCAGGTCAGGTAGCAGCCCCCTGTTCGTGTCGCCTCCTCACGCAGAAGACTCTCCTTTGGCACCACCGCCTTGGTCACCCCTCCCTGCCTCGCCTCCGTGGCATTCACTCCTGCCTCCTTGTCTCTGGTCTTCCCAGGTCTCTGCCTCCCCTCCCACCCTCGCCTGCGCCACCCTGCCTTCCTTGCGTCGAGGGGCGGCAGCGTGCCGCTCCTCACTCCTCCTCGTTTTCGCCGACGACTGCTCCCCTGCAGACTCTCCATATGGACGTGTGGGGCCCAGCCCGCGTCAATGGACAGGACCGCGAGCGCTACTTTCTGCTGGGGACATACACGAGGATGTAGAACGGCTTCAGAAAAGGGTCGGTGCGCAGAAACAGCGATGGGTCAGCAGTCGAAGGAGCAAACCCAAGAGCCGCAAGTGTAATCCTCAGTGTGTCGTGCCACTCCTGAGGCGCTTGGCGAAGACCGTAGAGTGGCCGACGGAGGCTCCACTGGGTACCCCTGGGAAACGATCCAGTGAAGCCAGGTGGGCGGCGCAGCCAGATCTCCTTGTAAAGGTTGCCCTGCAGGAAGGTTGTAGAGAAGTCAAGCGAGTGGAGCTCGTAGTCACGCTGTGCTGCAACGTGCAGTAACACCCGAAGAGTGGTCATCTTCGGGGTGGGACTTCAAACCTAGATCCCGTGAAGGTCCCGTGTCAGTTGGCTTTAAAGACTATAGATCTGGAATCCTCGTTACAAGGCGAAGCGATCGATACGTTTTTCGTGTCTACTCATCAGGCATTGTATCGTTTGCTAAACGGGATCTGGTTTCTTGTCAGGCAACTAACTCCAAGGTCCCTTTTGGTTTTGGGCTAACTCCAAGGCCATGGTTCTTGACTTTCGGCATTGTCAACATCTGCAATGACAACAGTGCACTTATTTCGCATATTGTCAGGCCAGATCCCGAGGCTTCAACCTCGGTTTCTCACCACCAACACCAGGAGCAGTGGTCTAGTACCTATGGACTTCACCTACTTAACAAGCCTGTGCTCAGAGTATTGGCATCAGTTCAACCACCAGCAATCTGTTTTGCGGGCCTTTCTACTCTTCATCATCACACAATGCCTCCTAAGGGGAAGTCCAAGGTTCGTCCTCTCTCGCCTTCAACCTCTGTCTCCACGTCTGCAAGGAAGGACAAGGGCAAGGCACCGGATGTCTCGAACAATGTGACGATCACGGATGCGCCAGCAAGTGGATCTGGTCTCTCTCTGGAAGAGAAGCTTCGCTCTCTTCATACGACCGCTCCTAACAGTGGCTTCCTTGAAGATGACTCTGACGAGGAGTTGGAGATCGGGATCAAGACGGAGGTCTTCAATCGCGTCCGTTACACCGCGATTCTGCTGCTGCCGGTGGCTCTTGCGTTGGAGGTGGTTTCTGTCATTACTACGGTGCGGACCCTGATGAGACGTGTCTGGACATCTTCGCTCACCGATGGCGCGGCTGAGTCGGCGAAGTTCCAAGAGCTCCTGCCGGCGTATGTCGCGAAGACCCGCTACAGTCGGCTGCAGATCTCCCTCCTGTGTGAAGAAGACATTGCGAGTATCAGGGCGAAGGAGGTTGACTACACGCGTCCTAACGGCACGGTCTTTCGCCTCTACTGGCTGCATACTGATGACCCAGCTTTTGTGCGGGAACGGGCGACAAACGCTCAGGCGATTGAGGTGGTGATTCGTGACGTACCTGCGACAAAGACGCCGGAGATGCTGCGGGAGCTGATGGTGGTTTATCAGCTGCGGAGCCGGAGGCAGTCGGCGTTCAAGGACGGTATCTGCTTTCACCGCGTCCTGCATCCGGTCACTGGCGCCGACACTGACGTAATCAAAGGTCTCGTGATTCCGCACTCCGGCGACAAGTACCGCTGGCGCCACGTTTTCCAGGACCCGCTCGACCTTGGTCGCCGCTACTTGGTCCACTTTCCTGCGCTGTCTTGCCTTCTCTGTGGTGGACAGCACTATGATGTCAATCATGATGCTTTCACAACAGAGCGGCAAAACAACATAGGGAAGTGGAATCTTACCTTAGGTCGCGTGTACCGTATTAATGGTAACTGCTGCTTTACCCATGATCGCGTTCCTCACTGTGCTTGTTCACTTGATAACTGCCAAGTTGTATTATGCAGATGCGTCTCTTCCGGCTTCACCGCTGATCACTCCTATCCTCCTGGACCCGGCTATGGTGTTGATCTCAACTGGAGGGAACCGAGAGGAGTGGATCTGCACACAAGTGGGCTGTGGGAAGGCAAAGGAAGGAGCTTCATGTCTGCCGGCGATCATGTCACGTCCGCGAATCACCTCATCCACCTGGAGAAGCTCGGCTCTGCCACCCGTGCCTCGCTCGAGAAGGCAAGCCTCAACGCAACGAAGAAGGAATACGGGATCTGATTTTAGTACAGCTCGGTAGACAAGCAGCGGCAACAGCGGTTTTCTTTTCGGTAGTCAGTGTCGGTCTCTTCTTTACCCAGTGGATGCGTAGGGGTTATCAAGCTGTGATTAAATGAGTAAGAAAAGCCTCATCAGTTTCGCGGGCCTTAACGTCAACGGCCTAGGAGATAAGACTAAACAACAACGACTTCTAAACTGGTCCAGACAAGCTGCTGATATCATTGTTCTCTCAGACACTAGAATAGCCGCTGATCATCCGCTCTGGTCCCATCCCACTTACAGTCTTGCCGCAGCCACTTCACCTAGGTCGAAAGCCGGTGGCGTCGCTTTGCTCTGTAGATCTCAGCTCTTTAGCTTCAGAAACGTGTTAGTCCATCCCTCCGGTAGATTAGTTTCCGCAGAAATCCTGGGCCTTGGCCTGCATCTCACTGTAGTGGCCTGTTACTTTCCAGCCAACTCGACTTCACGTGCGGCGTTTCTTCGCGACGCACTCGGTCCGGTAGTAGACTTAATCCCGCCAGCCAATCACCTTCTCATCATAGGGGATCTCAATATAATAGAGGATCCGGTGTTAGACAAGTCATCGCGCTTGGGTTTCACCGCTGAAAATAACAGACTGTTTAACAGATGCAGTAACTTTCAGCTATCCGACACATTTAGAACGCTGTACCTGAGAAAACGAGAGTTCACCTTCTTTTCGCAGTCCCAGCGTGTTAGTACACGAATGGACCGTGCGCTTATCTCCCACTCCCTCTTACCTCACCTGATCCAAGCCGCTCACGTCATGCCGTTGGAGTATATCTCTGACCACAGCTTTGCGATTCGCATCGCCCTCCGGATTGACGCCAAGCTCTGCATCGGCCCCGGGATCTGGAGGCTTCATGCTTCAATGGTACATAAGAAAGGAGTTCGGAAGGTGGTTGAAGCGACTGTGGAGCGTTGCGCGGCAGTAGTTTCGAGTTGCTGCTCTCACTGTTGGCGGTGGGGCTTCGAGCCTTTGCGAGAGAAGAGGGAAAAAGGGTGAAGGCGACGGCGACACATCTGGTCGATATCGTTGCCAGCCTTCGGCAGGAGATGATGCGGGGGTGGGGCAGGGACGTGAGGGGCAATGCGCTGCAGGGTTCGCTGGTGGGGGAGATCGCACGCCTGCCCGCCCTCACCTACCTGTCAGTGCCGCCCTCACCTACCTGTCAGTGCCGCCCTCACCTACCTGTCAGTGCCGCCCTCACCTACCTGTCAGTGCCGCCCTCACCTACCTGTCAGTGCCGCCCTCACCTACCTGTCAGTGCCGCCCTCACCTACCTGTCAGTGCCGCCCTCACCTACCTGTCAGTGCCGCCCTCACCTACCTGTCAGTGCCGCCCTCACCTACCTGTCAGTGCCGCCCTCACCTACCTGTCAGTGCCGCCCTCACCTACCTGTCAGTGCCGCACTCACCTACCTGTCAGTGCCGCCCTCACCTACCTGTCAGTGCCGCCCTCACCTACCTGTCAGTGCCGCCCTCACCTACCTGTCAGTGCCGCCCTCACCTACCTGTCAGTGCCGCCCTCACCTACCTGTCAGTGCCGCCCTCACCTACCTGTCAGTGCCGCCCTCACCTACCTGTCAGTGCCGCCCTCACCTACCTGTCAGTGCCGCCCTCACCTACCTGTCAGTGCCGCCCTCACCTACCTGTCAGTGCCGCCCTCACCTACCTGTCAGTGCCGCCCTCACCTACCTGTCAGTGCCGCCCTCACCTACCTGTCAGTGCCGCCCCCACCTACCTGTCAGTGCCGCCCCCACCTACCTGTCAGTGCCGCCCCCACCTACCTGTCAGTGCCGCCCCCACCTACCTGTCAGTGCCGCCCTCACCTACCTGTCAGTGCCGCTCTCACCTACCTGTCAGTGCCGCTCTGCGCTCCGCGCCCTGCGCCTGCTCTCACATGTTGCCTGCTCTCACATGTTGCCTGCTCTCACATGTTGCCTGCTCTCACATGTTGCCTGCTCTCACATGTTGCCTGCACTGCACGCACATCCCTGCCAGCTCTCCACCTGCCAGCTCTCCACCTGCCAGCTCTCCACCTGCCAGCTCTCCACCTGCCAGCTCTCCACCTGCCAGCTCTCCACCTGCCAGCTCTCCACCTGCCAGCTCTCCACCCGTCTTCCCTTGTTTTTGCGCCCCATCTCCGCATCTCCCCTTCCCCCCCCCCTTCCCCCCTCCCCCCTCACAGCGACCTGCATCAGAACCCCATCACCGGCCCGCTGCCCTCCTCCCTTGCTGCCCTCCTCCCTTGCTGCCCTCCTCCCTTGCTGCCCTCCTCCCTTGCTGCCCTCCTCCCTTGCTGCCCTCCTCCCTTGCTGCCCTCTCGCTGCTCACCCGACTGTGAGTGAGTCGTGCTGATGAGACTGTGAGTCGTGCTGATGGTCTGTGAGTCATGCTGACGAGTGTGTGAGCTGTGCTCACAACATGTTACTCGCTGAAAAGCTTACCGGCCATCACACGTGCTTGAACTATCTCTGATACCACCACACCAACTCATGCCTCTCCACCAACTCATGCGTCTCCACCAACTCATGCCTCTCCACCAACTCATGCCTCTCCACCAACTCATGCCTCTCCACCAACTCATGCGTCTCTCGTCTCCGCCTGCACGCTTCTGTTGCCTTGACTGCTGCTTCCTCGCCACCTCACCACAACCCCACTTACACTCCTCTGCCCACACCACCACCTCCTCTGCCCACACCACCACCTCCTCTGCCCACACCACCACCTCCTCTGCCCACACCACCACCTCCTCTGCCCACACCACCACCTCCTCTGCCCACACCACCATCTCCTCCTGCCCGCTCACTTCCACCCCTCACTCCCCGCCCATTCGCCCCCTCGCCCCTCCTCCCCTCCCCCCCGGCTCTTCGCTCCTCCACCCCTCCCACCCCCCGCCCCTTCCTTTGGTGCCCCTCCCTCGTGTGCGCCCTGCTCTGCTCTGGCCAGCGACCTGCACAGTCTCGACTTCACGCCTGCCCCGCTGCCACCCGCTCTTGGCGCCCTCTCCTCCCTCGTCTACCTGTGAGCGCCCCCTCCCTCCTCCCTTCATTCTCCCTCTCCCCCCTCCCCTCGCCCTCCCCTCGCCCTCCCCTCGCCGCCTCCTCGTGCCCCCTTGCCGCCCATTGGTGCCACTCTCGCTGCCGACCTAAAGGCGTTACATGGAAGGTGGGCTCAACACCACACATGTCGGCTGCACGCATAGTAAGGCATGCACCGCACGGCATAACGCAATCAAGCGAACCTAGTGTAGTGTAGACTAACATTGGGGTTGGTTCAGCAAGTGCCACCCCCCACCCTATGCCATCCCATGCCATCCCATGCCATCCCATGCCATCCCATGCCATGCCATGCCATGCCATTCCATGCACCGTCCCCCATGGCACCGAACGCTGCGCGTCGTCATTCGCTTCCATGGGCTCTCTTCCACTTGCCCCCATGGGCTCTTCCACTTGCCCCCATGGGCTCTTCCACTTGCCCCCATGGGCTCTTCCACTTGCCCCCATGGGCTCTTCCACTTGCCCCCATGGGCTCTTCCACTTGCCCCCATGGGCTCTTCCACTTGCCCCCATGGGCTCTTCCACTTGCCCCCATGGGCTCTTCCACCCCCGCATGCCCCTCCCTCCCCCTCCTCCCCCCCCTTCCCGCTCTCTGTGGGGCAGCGACCTGGCATACACGCAGCTCACCGGCCCGCTGCCCGCCTCCATGGCCAACCTCTCCGCCCTCAACTTCCTGTATGCCCCGCCCTGCCCCGCCCCGCCCTGCCCCCCGTTGCCCTCATCTGCCCTCATACTGCCCGGCCCTGCCCTGCTCTGCCGGCTCTTGTCCTGTCGCCGTGCTATGCCATGCTATGCCATGCTGTGCTAGTGTTAGCCCTCAATCTCACGTTTTGTAATTGTACTTTTTATATCCTAGTTTAGTGTAGGCTGTACTTTTGTTTGGTTGGGTGTACACCCACATCCCAACCAAACCCAAATGTGATCTCCAAGCAATCTCCAACCCACCAATTGGAGATTGCCTTGGGATTACCCCCAATTTTTAGAGATTGCCCCCGATTCCCTCCCCATCCATTCATGTTCATTCTGGATGTACTTAAAGAGCTTCAAGCTCATTACTAATGCATGGATTCTAAGCTCAAGTTCTGACATGCTGTGCGCCTCTCCCTTTTGACTCCTCTCGCATCTCCAACGCGCCACCATGCGCTCTGCTGCATAATCCCCCCCCCTCCCTTCGCCCTCTAAATGCACACCCCACACCACCGTACTGTACAATGCCATGCCATGCTGTGCTCTGCGTTCCTATGAAATGCCATGCCATCCCAAATCATCCCATACTATGTACACCACACCATGCCACCATGTGCACCCCTGGCGCCGTGCAGCTCGTTGGACGGCAACGCCCTCACGGGCTCCATCGACATCTTCTCGCCCAACTCCTCCCTGCAAGCCATGTGAGTCCAAGCCATGTGAGTCCAAGCCATGTGAGTCCAAGCCATGTGAGTCCAAGCCATGTGAGTCCAAGCCATGTGAGTCCAACACATGTGAGTCCAACGCATGTGAGTCCAACGCATGTGAATCCAAGCCATGTGAGTCCAACACATGTGAGTCCAAGCCATGTGAGTCCAAACATGTGAGTCCAACGCATGTGAGTCCAACGCATGTGAGTCCAACGCATGTGAGTCCAAGCCATGTGAGACCAAGCCATGTGAGTCCAAGCCATGTGAGTCCAAGCCATGTGAGTCCAAGCCATGTGAGTCCAAGCCATGTGAGTCCAACGCATGTGAGTCCAACGCATGTGAGTCCAACGCATGTGAGTCCAACGCATGTGAGTCCAAGCTATGTGAGACCAAGCCATGTGAGTCCAAGCCATGTGAGTCCAAGCCATGTCATCGCACGTTAGTGCAATGCATCTCATTCCACTTGCTCTCCTGTTGACCATGGCATGGTCTATTGGCAATGCTGCCGTCTCCCCTCTCACCTGCGTCACCTCCCCTCTCACCTGCGTCACCTCCCCTCTCACCTGCGTCACCTCCCCTCTCACCTGCGTCACCTCCCCTCTCACCTGCGTCACCTCCCCTCTCACCTGCGTCACCTCCCCTCTCACCTGCGTCACCTCCCCTCTCACCTGCGTCACCTCCCCTTCCACCCCCCACCCACCAGTCTAGCGGGGCACAACCAGCTGCAGGGGGCGGTGCCGGACGTGGCGCTGCACCCGCGCCTGCGCCTGCTCTCACTGCACGACAACAACCTCACCGGCCCCGTGCCCGCAGCCGACCTCAACTCCTCCACCACCACCGTCGTGTCAGTCCGCCCTCTCAACCCATCCCAACCCAACCCATACCCACTCCGCCTTGTCTTAGCCCCATCCCACTCATCCCAACCCAACCCAACCCAACCCATATCTCAATCCGCATTGTCTCTGTCACATGCCACTCATCCCTCGCGCCTCACCTCACACGCCTGCTGTGCGGGGCCACTGTGTAGTGCGTCCACCAACGTACCACCACACCACCTCCTCATCCCCCACCTCCTCATCCCCCACCTCCTCATCCCCCACCTCCTCATCCTCCACCTCCTCATCCCCCACACCCCACACCCTCCACCCCCCGTTCCCCTCTCCACCCCGGTTGTCCTCCGCGTGCCAGCCTGGCAGGCAACCCCCTGTGCACGTCAGCGCGCTACTACAGCACGTGCAACGTGTGGCAGCAGCGGCGGCTGTGCACGCTGCCGTGCAGCAGCAGCGGGGAGAGCCCCAGCCCCGCGGAGTACGTGCGGTCGCAGGCGTGCGTGTGCGCGCTGCCCGTGGTGGTGCGCCTGTTCCTGCAGAACCCCTCCTACACGCTCTTCACCGCTGAATACGCCGACCTCTTTCAGCGCGACGTCGAGGCACAGCTTAGTCTGCAAGAGGGGCAGTTGGGTGACAGGGCGGGGGAATGGGTGGGTTGTGGGTTGGGGAAGGCAGATCGGTCGAAGGGGGAAGGGGACAGGTGGTTGGCTGTTCCTGCAGAACCCCTCCTACACGCTCTTCAACGCTGAATACGCCGACCTCTTTCAGCGCGACGTCGAGGCACAGCTTAGTCTGCAAGAGGGGCAGGTGGGTGACAGGGCGGGGGAATGGGTGGGTTGTGGGTTGGGGGAAGGCAGATCGGTCGAAGGGGGAAGGGGACAGGTGGTTGGCTATTCCTGCAGAACCCCTCCTACACGCTCTTCAACGCTGAATACGCCGACCTCTTTCAGCGCGACGTCGAGGCACAGCTTAGTCTGCAAGAGGGGCAGGTGGGTGACAGGGCGGGGGAATGGGTGGGTTGTGGGTTGGGGGAAGGCAGATCGGTCGAAGGGGGAAGGGGACAGGTGGTTGGCTGTTCCTGCAGAACCCCTCCTACACGCTCTTCAACGCTGAATACGCCGACCTCTTTCAGCGCGACGTCGAGGCACAGCTTAGTCTGCAAGAGGGGCAGGTGGGTGACAGGGCGGGGGAATGGGTGGGTTGTGGGTTGGGGAAGGCAGATCGGTCGAAGGGGGAAGGGGACAGGAGGTTGGCTGTTCCTGCAGAACCCCTCCTACACGCTCTTCAACGCTGAATACGCCGACCTCTTTCAGCGGGACGTCGAGGCACAGCTTAGTCTGCAAGAGGGGCAGGTGGGTGACAGGGCGGGGGAATGGGTGGGTTGTGGGTTGGGGGAAGGCAGATCGGTCGAAGGGGGAAGGGGACAGGTGGTTGGCTGTTCCTGCAGAACCCCTCCTACACGCTCTTCACCGCTGAATATGCCGACCTCTTTCAGCGCGATGTTGAGGCACAGCTCAGCCTTCTCGAGGGGCAGGTGGGTGACAGGGGGAAAATGGAGGGGGAAAAGGATGAGAAGGGTGGGCGGAGGGCTAGGAGGGTGCGTGTTGGTGTATGCACGTTACGTCTAGTGTGGGAGCGAGGGAGTTGTGTGAGATGAGCTGGTGGGCATGGGAGCGGGTGCATGCTGCCCCACTTTCAGCACCTCACCTCCACCTTCATCGCGAAAATGGCAAGTGCCGAAAGTCACAAAAAAGTGCTCGAAATGTGACTTTTATGTGACAGCAAGTCCGGCGTTTTTTAGTCATGGTTGAAAGTACCGGCCACGATGTTCCCTGCGTTGTCACGGAAATGTCACGTAAATGTGACATAATGTCACACAGAATGTCACAGTAGAGTGTCTGGTGAAGCGACTTTCTCGTCACTTTTATGTAACCTTGCCACGTGTCACGTATGCCAAGATATTTTGCCACGTGTCATTGTCGTTGATTGGTGGATATGAACCAATCAAACCTCGGGGACGTGGGTGCAGAAATGTTTTATGATTGGGTGGCGATTATTATCGAGCGACGCAGCATCGCCCATTTCCGTACGCGGAAATTTCAGAATACAGCAGCTGGCATTTCGAATGGGCTCCTTTAGTCACATCACATGCGCAACATACAAGTTACTACACAGATGTACGAACTAAAGCTACCGAAAGATGTGCGAACTAAAGCCACTGCGCAGATGTACGAACTGAAGCCACTGCGCAGATGTACGAACTGAAGCCACTGCGCAGATGTACGAACTAAAGCCACTGCGCAGATGTACGATTGGCGAGCAACTGCGCAAATGTACGAACGTGTAGCCCGGAACACCGTGGCGTGGCTACGAAAACATCTTGCCAGTATGGTCGTTCGGAACTGTCAAACCTGCAAAAAAGAAGAAAGCTAATACAGAACAAAATGGAACGTGATGAATCTGCACACAAAAACATCACCAGTTATGTGAGTGATGAAACCCGCAAGACAATCATAGCAATAGATCGTGAGTCTCAGGAAACATGGGGCGGAGCGTTCGAGGGGCTAGTGCAACGGTACCTATGTTTTAACACCAAAAATAGCAGGGATGACGTCACGACAGATCCACATGCACACACACAAGCCAACGTCATGATGCTCTGTCGGTCGCAAAATCGCACAGTCAGCATCAAAGCTTGCCTGAATGACAAAAGCGAAGTACGGAACGGTCGAACTGGAATATGCGCCACTGCACTTTTGTCGCTGTTTTTCGAACATGCTGCACAAAGTAGCATGACATGCTCCTTGGTGGTGCTGGCTGCAGTCGCACTGCACCTTGCGTTCTGCCACAAAGAGATAAACAAAAGCAATATGAAGAAGAGAGAGAATCGAGACCATAGGAAACAAAGGGCTACGCAGTCGCGTAGGCCATCTGCCACGCGTTAAAGAGAAGGTGTTTGAGCCAGGCAACACACTGGGCACTGACCAGTACAGTTGACCCCACCGGTTGCCTGGGTGGCGGTTTAACATCGTTATGCTTGCGGCGTTGAAGCGCTGTGATCTGCCACGCGGGGCACCAGAGGGGAGTGGCATGTTGGCAAGTGGGGGGGCGGATGGGGAGAGTAGAGAGAGAATGAGGTATGCAGTTCCAAGTAGCTTCTCTAATGAAAAAAAACACGTGGTGGGGGTTGAACAACGATAGGTATAAACACACCGCCTATGGAGAGGTAAGCTGTAGTGTGTAAGCCTAGAGCATGAAGGTAGAGCACAGTTGGCTGAGTGTGCTAGATGGGTGTGACAAAGGTGTGACGTGGAACGTTCGCGAAACCTTGATGCGACGCACATTTCCCTAGAGTAGCCTTGATTGGTTTGCACACGCCACTGTCGAGTCTGACGTGTAGCATCGAAGCGCAAAAATCTTCGTTTTGTTTTTTACGACCGTCACGAAGTAGTTTCACCGTCTGTTATTTGTTTCGCTAGTGTTCGGGTTGCTTCGCATGCCTCGTGATCACTGCATTCAAGTTGGTTTGTTTTTCTCATTCAGCAATACACAGGTAAACCGCCTTCAAACGCTTTCAACCACTGTCGTAATTCTCGTGCGAAACCAGGCCATCTACTTCCTAGCCAATTCCGTGGACGCATTTGCGACTAACAGCTTCTAGTCACTGGGAAGTTACAACAGCGTGACTTTTTTGTCACGTTTGCGGTGTACGTTAATGTGACATTTCCGTCACCATCCCGGCTGGGACTTTTTGTATGACGTCGTGACTTTCTGGGAGCTTTTTGGTGGAAAAACCTACGGGGCCCTGAAATTTGGATCAGCCTTTTTCGCGATGTTCATTGCGCATAGTCAACACCCTGCTACTGCTCTCACTCTATCCCCCTTCTCGCTATCGACATACGTGTGCGTGCATGTGAGCGTGGCTGTGTGTGTGGGCATGTGTGCACGCATGTGTGCATGCATGTGTGCTTGCATGTGTGCTTGCATGTGTGCTTGCATGTGTGCTTGCATGTGTGCACGCATGTGTGCTTGCATGTGTGCACGCATGTGTGCACGCATGTGTGCTTGCATGTGTGCTTGCATGTGTGCTTGCATGTGTGCTTGCATGTGTGCTTGCATGTGTGCATGCATGTGTGCATGCATGTGTGCATGCATGTGTGCATGCATGTGTGCATGCATGTGTGCATGCATGTGTGCATGCATGTGTGCATGCATGTGTGCATGCATGTGTGCATGCATGTGTGCATGCATGTGTGCATGCATGTGTGCATGCATGTGTGCATGCATGTGTGCGCTTGCATGTGTGCTTGCATGTGTGCTTGCATGTGTGCACGCATGTGTGCACGCATGTGTGCACGCATGTGTGCACGCATGTGTGCTCGCATGTGTGCACGCATGTGTGCCCGCATGTGTGCCCGCATGTGTGCCTGCATGTGTGCCTGCATGTGTGCCTGCATGTGTGCCTGCATGTGTGCATGCATGTGTGCATGCATGTGTGCATGCATGTGTGCATGCATGTGTGCATGCATGTGTGCATGCATGTGTGCATGCATGTGTGCATGCATGTGTGCATGCATGTGTGCATGCATGTGTGCATGCATGTGTGCATGCATGTGTGCATGCATGTGTGCATGCATGTGTGCATGCATGTGTGCATGCATGTGTGCATGCATGTGTGCATGCATGTGTGCATGCATGTGTGCATGCATGTGTGCATGCATGTGTGCATGCATGTGTGCATGCATGTGTGCATGCATGTGTGCATGCATGTGTGCATGCATGTGTGCATGCATGTGTGCATGCATGTGTGCATGCATGTGTGCATGCATGTGTGCATGCATGTGTGCATGCATGTGTGCATGCATGTGTGCATGCATGTGTGCATGCATGTGTGCATGCATGTGTGCATGCATGTGTGCATGCATGTGTGCATGCATGTGTGCATGCATGTGTGCATGCATGTGTGCATGCATGTGTGCATGCATGTGTGCATGTGTGCATGCATGTGTGCTTGCATGTGTGCATGCATGTGTGCTTGCATGTGTGCATGCATGTGTGCTTGCATGTGTGCTTGCATGTGTGCATGCATGTGTGCATGCATGTGTGCATGTGTGCATGCATGTGTGCATGCATGTGTGCATGCATGTGTGCATGCATGTGTGCATGCATGTGTGCATGCATGTGTGCATGCATGTGTGCATGCATGTGTGCATGCATGTGTGCATGCATGTGTGCATGCATGTGTGCTTGCATATGAGCATGCATGCGTGCATGCATGTGTGCATGCATGAGTGTGATGCGGGAGTGCATGTGAGGGCAGGCATGGCTGGACCGTGTGAGTCAGCGCGAGGACAACCTCGAGGTCGCCACGCTGCGCATCTACCCCGCCAAGGTGCGCATCTACCCCGCCAAGGTGCGCATCTACCCCGCCAAGGTGCGCATCTACCCCGCCAAGGTGCGCATCTACCCCTCCAAGGTGCGCATCTACCCCGCCAAGGTCACGTGCGCCTTGCCGTCCCCCTCTTGCCTCCTCCTTGAAACGCTCCTGCCCTCGCGCTCATGACGATTGACCAGATAATTGACACATCGATACCCCAACTCTGAACTGCGACGAGGTTGTACATTTGTAATTATTCTTTCTTAAAGGGGTGGGTACACGGCTATGCTAAATGTTGTATCTCCCCATCCCCCTTCTCCCCCGTCCCCCCCCAGTCCCCCTTCTCCCCCGTCCCCCTTCTCCCCCATCCCCCTTCTCCCCCATCCCCTTCTCCCCCATCCCTCTTCTCCCCTCCTCTTCCCCCCGTCCCCCTTCTCCCCCGTCCCCCTTCTCCCCCGTCCCCCTTCTCCCCCGTCCCCCTTCTCCCCCGTCCCCTTCTCCCCCCCCGTCCCCTTCTCCCCCGTCCCCCTTCTCCCCCGTCCCCCTTCTCCCCCGTCCCCCTTTTCCCCCGTCCCCCTTCTCCCCCGTCCCCCTTCTCCCCCGTCCCCCTTCTCCCCCGTCCCCTCTTCCCCCATCCCCCTTCTCCCCCGTCCCCCTTCTCCCCCGTCCCCCTCCCCCCGTCCCCCTTCTCCCCCTCCCCCTTCTCCCCCATCCCCCTTCTCCCCCGTCCCCCTTCTCCCCCGTCCCCCTTCTCCCCCGTCCCCCTTCTCCCCCGTCCCCCTTCTCCCCCGTCCCCCTTCTCCCCCGTCCCCCTTCTCCCCCGTCCCCCTTCTCCCCCCCGTCCCCCTTCTCCCCCATCCCCCTTCTCCCCCGTCCCCCTTCTCCGGTCAGGTGGATGAGCCATGGACGGGGGAGCAGCGGGGGCAGCTGTATGCAGCACTGGGCCGACTCACTCGGCTCAGCGCCATCTTTGGAGGGATCACGTTCGGTGAGTGGCACAATTGGCAGTCACGTTCGGTGAGTGGCAGATTTGGCAGTCACGTTCGGTGAGTGGCACAATTGGCAGTCACGTTCGGTGAGTGGCAGGCTTGGCAGTCACGTTCGGTGAGTGGCACAATTGGCAGTCACGTTCGGTGAGTGGCAGGCTTGGCAGTCACGTTCGGTGAGTGGCAGAATTGGATTGGCAGGGCTGTGAGGCGTTTGTTTGCCATACCCACCCTCTGCGACCAACGCTTGTGCTGGCCTGTAGTATCAGTCATGCCAGATGATTGGCACACCTCCACCACCTCTTTCTCACGCCTGGTTCTTGCTCCCCCTGCTCCTCCTACACTCACACAACATCACTCACACAACACAACATCACTCACTCCTGTCGCTGCCTCTATCGTCTCACCTTCCCCTCCCTCTCTCTCTCCCCCCACCTACCCATCTGCCACCCTTTCCTGCCCTCACTGCCTCCCGCCCTGCCCACAGATGGCCCACCACCCCGCCCGTGCCCAGCCCGCCACCGCCCCCTCCCACGCTGGCAGTCACCACTGAAAGCAGTGCGCCACTCCTCCCTGCCTCTCCTGCCACTGCCTCTCCTCTGCTTGTGTCACTCTTTGCTCGTCCCACTCTTCCCTCATCCACATATTCACTCCTCGCTCATATTCACTCCTCGCTCATATTCACTCCTCGCTCTGAACTGCTCAACTCCTGCCTCCTTCCCTCCTTTTGCTTCCCTCCTCCCTCCTCCCTCTTCCCTCCCTCCTCCCTCTTTCCTCCTCCCTCTTTCCTCCTCCCTCTTTCCTCCTCCCTCCTCCCTCCTCCCTCCTCCCTCCTCCCTCCTCCCTCCTCCCTCCTCCCTCCTCCCTCTTTCCTCCTCCCTCTTCCCTCCTCTCGCTTACCTCCTCCCTCCTCCCTCCTTCCTCTTCCCTCCTCCCTCATCCCTCATCCCTCCTACCTCCTACCTCCTCCCTGCTCCCCTCCCTTTCTCCCTCCACCGTCCTCCCTCCTCCCTGCACCCACCGCGCGCCTGCCCGTGCGGTGCAGAGAGCACGTTCCCAGTGTGGGCCATTGTGGTCACTGGAGTCGGGCTGCTGTGCTTCGGCGCCTCGCTGCTGCTGCTGCTGCTCTGGCTGCGCCACCAGCGCAGACGCCAGATGCTCAGTGAGTGCCGCCCGCAGTGAGTGCCGCCCGCAGTGGTCAAGTGGCACAGGAGTGGTTTGATGGCACAAGAGTGGTCTGCTGCACTCGGACCTGGCGGCCACCGACGGCTTCTTGGATGCGCGACTGCTAGGCGTGGGCGGGTACGGGTCAGTGTACCGCGGGGACGGGCCCAACGGCGAGCAGTGGGCCGTCAAGCGCGCCCAGGTCACCACCGTGCAGTCCATGGGCGTGTTTCAGAACGAGGTCAGTCCATGGGCGTGTTTCAGAACGAGGTCAGTCCATGGGCGTGTTTCAGAACGAGGTCAGTCCATGGGCGTGTTTCAGAACGAGGTCAGTCCATGGGCGTGTTTCAGAACGAGGTCAGTCCATGGGCGTGTTTCAGAACGAGGTCAGTCCATGGGCGTGTTTCAGAACGAGGTCAGTCCATGGGCGTGTTTCAGAACGAGGTCAGTCCATGGGCGTGTTTCAGAACGAGGTCAGTCCATGGGCGTGTTTCAGAACGAGGTCAGTCCATGGGCGTGTTTCAGAACGAGGTCAGTCCATGGGCGTGTTTCAGAACGAGGTCAGTCCATGGGCGTGTTTCAGAACGAGGTCAGTCCATGGGCGTGTTTCAGAACGAGGTCAGTCCATGGGCGTGTTTCAGAACGAGGTGAGCAGAGGATGAGGATGAGGGGAAGAGCAAAGGGATTGCAAGTGGAGTTGCCCCTACTCGTCGCCCTCGTGTCCTTTTCTTCCTGTCACCAGCTGCCTTTTGTCAACTTCCACCGTCCTCCCTTCCCCCGCCCTCCACCCTCGCCTGTCCTTCTCCTCCAATTGTATCCTGCTCTCCCTCTTCCCTGCTCTCCCTCTTCCCTGCTCTCCCTCTTCCCTGCTCTCCCTCTTCCCTGCTCTCCCTCTTCCCTGCTCTCCCTCTTCCCTGCTCTCCCTCTTCCCTGCTCTCCCTCTTCCCTGCTCTCCCTCTTCCCTGCTCTCCCTCTTCCCTGCTCTCCCTCTTCCCTGCTCTCCCTCTTCCCTGCTCTCCCTCTTCCCTGCTCTCCCTCTTCCCTGCTCCTCCCACGCTCCACAAATCACCACCGTGCTGTCAGCCGTTGGCCTTAGCTGTTGGAAATAGGCTGCACCTTGTTGGTCTTTATTTTTTCAGGTTACAGCTTTTAGTGAGTTTAGTTATAGATTGGTTTGGGTGTAGACTTTTTCATCCTCAACCTATTCAACCTCATCCAACCCTATCCATCCAAAATCTTCATGCTTTGGATGGATACCCCTACATTTCCCTCCTGCTTTCACCTTATCCACCCAAACCGTGCTAGCTAGCTGTACTGAGGACCATGAACGTGTCGTTGTAATCAATGCAGGGCCGGCACTTGATGCCGTGCCCACAACGCGCTGCCGCCCTGCCCTGCCCTCCATGTGCACGTCATACCAACACAAGCCCCGCGCGCTCACCACGCTGCCTTATACCACCCTCTAACCTCCTCATCCTCCCCTCCCCTCCCCTCCCATCACCCCTCTCAGATAGCCTCCCACGCCCCCCCTCCGCACACCCTTTCCACCAGGTGCGGTGCGGTGCGGTGTGGTGCGGTGCGGGTGAACATCAGCCATGAGCGGCCGCAACCTGATAGCGCTGCTTTGATTTGAGAGGCGTAAAGCACCCCATCCCTCCCCCCCATCATTGCCCATCTCACCCTTCCCCACCCTCACCCATTCCCCCCCCCCCTGGGCAGCAGGTGGACGTGATATCAGCAATGAGTCACCGCAACCTGATAGCGCTGCTGGGGTACTGCGAGGACAAGGGCGAGCAGATCCTCGTGTACGAGTTCGCCGCCAATGGCACCCTCTCCGCCCACCTGCGCCCGCCCCCCGGTGAGCGCGTGCCTCACCCCGGTGAGCGCCAGGCGATAGGTGACTGTGATGTGATGTGAGGCCGCTGCCACGGGCATGTGTGTGTGGGTGCATGGGTGGATGGATGGGTGCATGGGTGCATGGGTAGGTGCATGGGTGGGTGCATGGGTGCATGGGTGGGTGGATGGGTGTCGTGGTCACGAGTGACATTGTGCACAGTCTGCCTCTGCACTGCAGCACGCGTGGCAACTATCCCTGGGCAGCACGCGTGGCAACTATCCCTGGGCAGCACGCGTGGCAACTATCCCTGGGCAGCACGCGTGGCAACTATCCCTGGGCAGCACGCGTGGCAACTATCCCTGGGCAGCACGCGTGGCAACTATCCCTGGGCAGCACGCGTGGCAACTATCCCTGGGCAGCACGCGTGGCAACTATCCCTGGGCAGCACGCGTGGCAACTATCCCTGCGCAGCACTGTGGGGCTTTGTGCCTCGACTCTTTTCTCGCCCTCTATTTCTCCTCCACTCTCAATCCACCCTTCATCCCCTTACTTGCCTCCCTTTACTTCCTGTGCTTTCTTCCCTCCCCTCTCCTTCCTTTCCGGATCTTCCCCACCCACCCCTCCCCCCACCCCTCTCCCCCCACGCCTCCCCCCACCCCCCGTGTGAGAAGACAAGCCGATGGCGCCGCTGACGCTGCAGCAGCGCGTGGAGGTGGCGCTGGGCGCGGCGCAAGGGCTGTTCTACCTGCACTCGTTCGCGCGCCCACCCGTCATCCACCGCGACGTCAAGTCCGGCAACATCCTGCTCGACCAAGACATGCAGGTGGGGGGGGGAGGGGGGGGACTTGCAGGTGGGAGAGGGTATTGCAGGTGGGAGAGGGTATTGCAGGTGGGAGAGGGTATTGCAGGTGGGAGGGAAGGAAGGAGCATGTGGAGGGGAAAGGGGCATGCTGGTGGGGATATAAGTTGGGGGAGAAGGGGGCGTGTGGGGTGGGATATACAGTCATGGGGGGTGCACCTTGCAAGTCAAGACAAGACATCTTTCGCATTTCTCAACAATTTGCTTCTCTAATTGGATTGACATGCCCCACTGCGCGCATGCTCCATTGTCGCCGACTCAAAGGTCTGAGGTTGTTTCCCACACCACCCAGGCTCTGTGGCCCTTACCCCTCTGCGCCCCTCTGCGCCCCTTTCACTTGTCCCCTCTCCTTCCTCTCCCCCTCGCCATGTGCGCGCAGGCGAAGGTGGCGGACTTTGGGCTGCTCAAGGCATCAAAGGGCGAGGGCGTGGCGCACAGCACGCTGGTGGCGGGCACGCCTGGGTACCTGGACCCCGAGTACTACTCCGCCTTTAAGGTCACCACCAAGAGCGACGTCTACAGGCACGCGCCGCCCCCCCCTCTTGCTCCCGCTGCTGCTGCTGCTGCTGCTGCTGCTGCTGCTGCTGCTGCTGCTGCTGCTGCTGCTGCTGCTGCTGCTGCTGCTGCTGCTGCTGCTGCTGCTGCTGCTGCCGCTGCTGCTGCCGCTGCCGCTGCCGCTGCCGCTGCCGCCGCCGCCGCCGCCGCCGCCGCCGCCGCCGCCGCCGCTGCCGCCGCCGCCGCCGCTGCTGCTGCCGCTCCCGCTGCCGCTCCCGCTGCCGCTCCCGCTGCCGCTCCCGCTGCCGCTCCCGCTCCCGCTCCCGCTGCTGCTCCCGCTGCTGCTCCCGCTGCTCCCACTGCTCCCACTGCTGCTGCTGCTGCTGCTGCCGCCGCCCCCCCCCCCATGCCCCATCCATTCCCGCGTCACATGCTCAGATGGATGCCACACTCACCCCGGGTGCTGCAGCCTTGCATGGCTTGGATCACACGCACACTTCGCATGGCTTGGATGACATGCACGCTTTGCGAGCTGCTTCACACGCCATACATTTTGCCTACACAATCCTTGGCGTGCCGTGGCAATCCCCCATACCCTGTGCGCGCAGCTTCGGCGTGGTGCTGCTGGAGATTCTGACGGGGCTGCCGCCCATCTTTGAGAGCCTCGACGCCAACGAGTCCACCGACGGCGAAAGGCAGATGACCAGCCTCGCCAGATGGGTGAGCGGCGTGATGGGTGAGTGGCGCGATGGGTGAGCGGTGTGATGGGTGAGCGGTGTGATGGGTGAGCGGCGCGATGGGTGAGAGGCGTCGTAATTGGTTGAGCACCAAGGAAGTCGGTCCTTCTTCTCCTGCTCTCACCTTGCCTCAGTCCGTCCCCCTCCTCCCTCAGCTACACTCAATGTCTCTCACGCCCTTCTCTTCTCATTCGCTGGACATGCCCCATAACATATGCCTCACAACCTCCCCTCTCACACTCCCTCCCCCTCTGCCTCTCCTCTCCCTCCCTTGGCCCCTGTCTGCAGTGCGCACCGTACGTGCAGACGGGCAACGTGGCCAAGATAGTGGACCCGCGCCTGGGCGCTGACTACCCGGTGGATATTGTCAAGGCAATGGCGGAGGTGGCCATGGCGTGCGTGCAGCGCCACAGCAAAAATCGCCCCGACACGGGCGAGGTCGTGCGGCGCCTGGGGGACATCCTGGCGCGCCTCACGGGTGACGAGAGCGCCGCCACACTGGGCCACCTGCGGCCGCAGAGCTCCAATGTGGGTGCCGTGGCCATTCCCGAGGACGGGGAGATTGATCCCAACATTGCGCTGGTGGGGAACATGGAGGGACCGTACGATGAGAGTACTGCCGCCATGTCGCAAGTTATCCCACGCTGAGTGATTGTCGTGCTCGTGCGTGAATATGAAATCAGAGCACCATGGGTAAGAATGAATTGTACGAAATTATCACAGCTAATATACCGTATATGTAATGAATATGAATTCATTACTGTAGAGGCTGCTCCTAGCGAGGACAGCCCGAACTGTTCGCGTCAGTTTGGGTTCGGCCCGAACCACATTCCGAGTCGCTCCGCACCAATCGTGACACAACCAGTCCTCGCACGTCACGAGGTTCTCGCCTAGCATGCATTCGCCCTATGTTTGCACGCTTTCTTCATTGTTTCGTCTTATTTAGAAAGCTTGCTTTCTCTTACTTATGATTTGGCATCGTTCTCATTTCAACTGGCAAATTACAACATGCATCTCGAGCTAGGAAACAGAATTGCTAGTACCTACATGTTGCTATACTATGTAGCAATCATTGTTCTAGCTAATAATCATGATCCTTGCTATGTAGCATGCTACTGGCGCTCGATCGTCTTGTGCAAACGGCGTCCGTGATGTCCATCAGCGTTGGGGCGGGGGTGGGAGAGTTGTATGAGCCGTTGGAAAAATGAGAGACGTGGGTGGAGGGAAATGAGCTCCAACCCACGATTTGTAGTTGGAGAAGGGCGTTTAGAGCATGTTACGTACCCCTTATTTTGGGGCCCGGTCGCGGTTGCCTCAAACATGCCGGTTGGGTTGAACGTAGGGTTACCCGATAACCCTACGCTCTACAGTGTACAGTAATGTACGTGCGTACCATACCCGTCTGGCAGCTGGTCGAGGCAACCACGTAGTCGGGCAACCGACTGGTCTCGACCAGGTACAACCGTATTGAGGCAACCAGGGTTGAACGTACCTAACCGCCGCGCAAACAGAGGGTGCACGAAAACATTGCGGGCAGGTTGCACTAGCGAGACTTGATGTGACTGGTGCAATCAAAATTTCATCAAATTTTGGCCACTAAGATTGACACAGTGACTGTTGGGTCTACCCGAAATACTGTTGGCACGGTTGGGTCCCAAAAGCAGGCGAGTGGTACATTTGCAGGTTGCCTGCTAGGTACCCAACCGGCCAAGTTGACAGCCCCGGTTGACCTGACCAGTCAGGTTGAGTCGACTTTTGGAGGCAACCGGGGCCTAACACCAAAATAAGGGGTACGTAACACGCTCTTAGCGCGCTTCGACGATGCCAAAACATGCGTTACAAGCAGCTGCGCTTTCGAAATACGTAATTTTGAAAAACACTTCGTGTGTTTAAAAATTATAATATTTAGAAAGCTTGCTTTCTCTTACTTATGATTTGGCATCGTTCTCATTTCAACTGGGGTCCCTGAGACATGGGTAGCCGGGGTTTTCGATGACGGATGAGTGCCTCTGCGTGCTGTGCTGAAGAAGGGGCGTGGTTCAGATCCTGCAACTGGCGGGAGGCGTTGATGAGATGTTCAACGTTAGGTGTGACGTACGTCTCCTTTGCTACGTCACTGCGCCATCTGCCAAGTCGTTTGAAGATCCTGTCTGGCACGCCGGTGTTTGCCGCGGCAGTGGCTGCACCCTTGCAAAAGGAATGAGTTCCCAGCTGCTGTTCTCCAAGTCCGATCTTCCCAAAGGCCTTCTTGCACCAGTTTCGGATTGTCGAGTATGATGATGGCCTTGCTTGGCCACCTTGGGTAAAACTGTGACCGAAGATGTGAATCAGCGGCCCCTCCGACTGTTGGTCATATCCCGCGAGTCGAATGAGCCGTCGAGTGCAGCGGACAGGGCAGAAGGGATCGTGTGTTGCAGCGATAGGTATCCATGTGCCCTTTCCAGCTTGGTCTGTCTTGGAGTACGGAATTAGGATCCACATGACCTCGTCGTCGAACTGGATGTCTTGCCACTCGATGGCGACGAGGTCCGAATATCGCAGGAAACCGGAGTACATGAGAATGGGGATGAGCCCCTTCGGGAATTCCCCGGGGTTGTCAGATTGCAGGTATCCTGCAGACATGTCGCGAACTTGTTGCAGTGAGACGGGCTCCTTCACTCTCGTGGGGCGAGGACAGTGCCTTTTTGCGAAGTCGCGGACTTGAGTGGTGAATGGTCCTGCCGTCGGGCATGCGCTCCCGGTCATGCGGTGGGCGAAGCTCACGGCTGAGCATGTGAGTTGTACCATGGATAGGGTGGCTTTACGTTTGATGGCATACCCAAGTACAGTGCGAGGGTCATGTCCGTCGCGGGGAGGAATGGGAGGTTCACCTGTCAAACATTATACATGTTGTATTTGTGTAGGCTGTAGTGGGTTAGCCTATAGGGGGGTCACAACATTAGGGTTTCATATTTGTACTCACAATCCTTGTTAGTTCATCATTCCTGTCCGTTCATTCTGACATGGTTTCAGAGCAGGTCCTTCGCTAGGACCGTTTTTTTTAAGGGCCCACCGTTCCCTACCTACCTACCTACCTACCTAGGGCGCCTCGAATTTTTTTTTTAACGGCCCCTACCTCCCGCGACCCGCGACCCGCCCCTTAGGCCCCGTCGCGCCGCCCCTTAGCCGCTCGCGCGCGGTCGTTTTCATACGTGCGCCCCGCCTGCTGCCCGCGCGCGCCTTATTTCCCTCGCGCGCGGCCCGTCGCCTACTCGCGCACGCCCCGCAGCCGCCCGTCGCCTGCTCGCGCACGCCCCGCAGCCGCCCGTCGCCTGCTCGCGCACGCCCCGCAGCCGCCCGTCGCCTGCTCGCGCACGCCCCGCAGCCGCCCGTCGCCTGCTAGCGCACGCCCCGCAGCCGCTCGTAGCCTGCTCGCGCACGCCCCGCAGCCGCCCGTCGCCTGCTCGCGCACGTCCCGCAGGCCCGCAGCCCGCTGTCGCAGCGGCCGCCCGCCCGCAGCCGCCCGTCGCCTGCTCGCGCACGCCCCGCAGCCGCCCGTCGCCTGCTCGCGCACGCCCCCGTGCCCGCAGCCGCTCGTACGCCGCTGCTTCCGCTGCTGCTTGCGCACCGCTGCCTCCCGAGCGCCGCCGCTGCCTGTGCGCCGCCGCTGCCCGTGCGCCGTCGCTGCTCCTACGCTGCTGTTCCCCGTGCGCCGCTGCCGCCCGTGTGCTTCTGCAGCCGCCGCCCGCGAGGCACTCGCTCTCACTGTTGTTTATTTTCTACCTACCGCGCACACTGCTGCCACTGCAGCTGCCACCAGTGCACCGTTGCAGCTCCTGCTGCCACGCTACCTACTACTGCCGCTCGTGTGCCACTACGGACAGTCGACCCCGCCCGCGCCTTGCCTAGCGGCCCCGCCGGCCCCGTTGACCCTCCGCACACCTTTCCAGCGGCCTGATTCCTACTACTACTGTTACTACTGCTACTACTGCTACTGCTACTGTCACTATGGCTAGTCCGCCAGTTCTAGCTTTCGATGCCGAGGGCCGTCCAGTGAAGTTCGAAACCTGGCTAGATGACCTGCACCTGTTCCTACAGCTCACTGCCAAGGAAGATATCTCACTGTACGACCACGCCCTAGGCCATGCCACTGCCCCTGACTCGTCTGCTGACAGCACTCTGCGTTCCCAGTGGCAGACCCGTGATGCGCACGCTCGCTTTGCTATTCGCAACTCCCTGCCGCTAGACGAGCGCGAGCACTTCGGCCAGTGCAAGACTGCTAAGGACCTCTACACCGCTGTAGTTGCCCGCTACTCCTCACCCGCTTCTGCCACGCTAGGCCGCCTCACTCTCCCCTACCTGTTCCCCGACCTAGCCTCCTTTCACACTGTCGCAGACCTCATCACCCACCTTAAGACTAGTGAGGCCCGCTTTCGCGCTGCTATGCCTGCCGAGTTTCTCACTAGCAACCCCCCCCCGCTCTGGATCACTCTCTACCACATCGTCACCCGCCTCCCTGACTCTCTGCGCGCAGTCAGGGACCACTTCCTCTCTCGCTCCCCCACTGAGCTCACTGTTGCCCTCCTCGAGAAGGAACTGCTTGCAGCTGAGGCGAGCATCGTCGCTGTAGGCACCTCTCGTGGCGACCCCCGCACCCCGTTCTTTGAGGGGTGTTCCCCTTCCCCCCTCCTCCCCTCTGTCGCCTCTGCTGCTGCTGTCGACCTTCTTGGTGCTGAGAAGGTCGGGACCGCGTCTGCTTCGAGCGGGCGCCGCAGGAACAAGGGGGGCAGGGGTGGGGGTGGCGGCGGAGGAGGTGGGGGTGGAGGCGGTGGGAGTGGAGGCGCGGCTGGGGAGACTAGTGGCGGCAGTGGGGGAGGAGACAGCAGCGGTGGGAGTGGTGGTGGAGGCGGCAGCGGAGGCGGAGGTGGTCGTGGCGGCGGCAGGGGTGGAGGTGGCCGGGGCGGCGGCGGTGGGGGTGGTGGTCGTGGAGGCACTGGCGGAGGGCAGAGTCAGCAGCCCGCCCCGACGCTTCAGGCCGCCCGTGAGTGGTATGCGCAGCGTAGCTTTACCTGCACGTACGTCATTCGCACAGGTGACCGCAGCGGCCAGCAGTGTGGGAGGCCGCACCCCATGCAGCGCTGCTTCGCGCGCCTTAACGACGCGTGGCGCACTCAGTTTCCTGCTGCCACTGAGCTGCCGCGCTGGGCTGATCTGGAAAAGAGGGGTGTTGATATTTGGGCTTTAGACTTTGATGCTATTCTCACTGCCATGTATGCGATGTCTATTAGTGGAGAGGGTACTCAGTACTTGCGTGTTCCGCCCGACCCGGGCATTCAGGCCAGTCCGGCTGCCGCTCTAGGTGCTAGTGCGTCTGCTCCCACAGGTCCTGGTGAGGCTGCAGCCCTAGGTGCTCGTGCGTCCGTGCCCCCTGGTACTGAGTCGACTGCAGCACTGCACACCTTCACACTGGACTCAGGTGCTTCTCGCTCCTTCTTTCGTGACCGCACTGTCCTTGAGCCACTCGCTCGGCCAGTTGCTGTCTCCCTTGCTGACCCCTCTGGGGGTCCGGTCATTGCGACCTCCTCCACTGTCCTTCCTTGTCCGGCGGTCCCGTCCGGCACGCTGTCAGGTCTCTACCTCCCCTCATTCTCTACGAACTTGGTGGCAGG